TACACACACACACACACACACACACACACACACACACACACACACACACACAATGTGATGAAAACCTTAAAAACTGGATACTCTGTTATCGGTGTTATTATCATGCTATTCATAATCGTTAAATAGGATCAGCGTAGATGTCTGTCGATGGAGGGATGAGCGCCGGTGGGTGTCGCCCATGAAAGCAGAAAGGGACGGACAGCAAGGATGAAATTCTTAAAAAACGGAGGGACTGTGGAGAAGAGAGAGGGTGATGAAATGCACACGTCATTGAAGCAGAATGCCGGGGTGGGGGGTGGGGTGTTGGTATTTGGGGGAGGAAGACCAGCAAGACACGGTCAGGGGACATGGAGGGTGGCCGAGGGGGAGGAGTCAGATGAGGACAGACTATAAAGGGAAGTGTGTATGTATGAGGACGCCCCAATGGAAGCCATCACATTGTACGCTAGCTTACAAATGGGTTTAAAACAAAAAGAACGAGGACCATTGCTCAGTCGATAGCGCTTTACGAGCATGGATGAAGCCCTGGGTTTGATCCCCGGCACCCCAGACACTGGGGCTGCTGCCACACACCAGTAATTCTATCACTTCAGAAGGTACAGGCGGAAGTTCAGGGTCATCCTCCGCCACATAGCAAGTTTGAGGCCAGCCTGGGCTATATGAGATCCTATCTGAAAAGGCAAACGAAACCCAAATGGATACTAAATATTAAGAACACTACTATGATACAGGGCTGTGAAAGAATTCATGAGATGGTTTGCTGTAAATTGTTCCGGAACACAGTCATCTTGATCTATACGATTAGCCATCACCTCTTACGCAATTTTAGCAAATTAAGGAACTGTGTGCACATCTGTATACACATGAAGAGATGGAGAGAGAAAACAGGTGGTGGTGGTGGGGGGGGCTGGAGAGATGGCTCAGTGGTTAAGAGCACTGGCTGCTCTTCCAGAGGTCGGGAGTTCAATTCCCAGTAACCACATGGTGGCTCACAACCATCCATAATGAGATTTGGTGTTCTCTTCTGGCCGGCAGGCATCCACGCAGGCAGAATATTGTATACATAATAAATAAATCTTAAAAGAAAAATTAAAAAACAAAACCCAACAACAACAAAAACGGGTGGTTTGTAATATGGTCAGTTCTTGGTGCTGGAGAGATGGCTCAGAGGTTAAGAGCACTGGCTGTTCTTCCAGAGGTCCTGAGTTCAATTCCCAGCAACCACATGGTGGCTCACAACCATCTGTAGTGAGATCTGGCGCCCTCTTCTGGCCTGAAGGGACACATGCAGGCAGAACACTGTATATGTAATAAATAAATAAATCTTTAAAAAAAAAATATGGTCAGTTCTTATTTTGTTCTTGGTCACCAGTGTGGTCTAAGTGTCTAGAACAGAGCATTGCCATTTCTCCAGTAACACAAACACAGAGACTTCCCAGATTAATGCCACGTGACCCTGCTGCAAGCGTGGAAAATGACTGCTACCTCATACCACGGCTGGAAAGAGAACTTGCAAAAAAAGCCTTTCTGAGGAGTGTCTTGGCAACATGTACCGTAAGCAGTAACAGGCTGCAGACTTGCTGACCCAGCGGTTCCATTTGGAGCTGTTTATCCAGATGGAAATCTCGTTTAGTAGATGCGTGCAAAGACCTACCATGCAGATACCCAAAGCATCGATAGTAAAAGCAAAAACTAGCAACAACCGAAAGCCTGGATAAGGTGATGGATACTCATTTAAATATTTAAATTTATTTTGCTTTATGTATATGAATGTTTTACAGGCCTGCATGTATGCACATCACGTGCATGTCTATTGGATCCCCTGGAAATGGGGTTTCGGGTGGTTATGAGACTTCATATGGGGTGCCTGGGAATTGAACCCAAGTCCTCTGTGAGAGCAAAAAGTGCTCTTTACCATGAAGCCACCTCCCTAGCCCCCGTTATGAACATGTAATCAAAAGATGCAAATATTCACAGTATGTCTAATTGACAAGGGACAGTCACAAAAGCTATGGCCAGGGCAATTTTACTTCTGAGAAACACGTGTGTGTGTGTGTGTGTGTGTGTGTGTGTGTGTGTGTGTGTGTGTACAGAAAATGATTAAAATGTACATGTGTAGAATCTAAACAGCCAGGTTATTATCTCTAGTTGCTGAGGTCACGAGTTTCTTTCTTTCTTTTTCTTTTTTTTAAAATTTGGGTTTATCTGTATTTTCCAGATTGCCCATGAATAGATTATATTATTTTGGGGAGAAGAAAAGCCAGTACTATTTTTAACATTCTCATCATAGCAAATTTGTAAAATACTTAATCAAGCTGCAAAACAATATTAAAGGATGGTTACATAAAATGAGTATTAAGCATTTATTTGATTATTTCTTGAGATAGGAGCCTGAGGGAAAATATTTGGGGAAAAAAATTTGTCAGAGAAACCATCGCCTCTGTGATTCCAGGACTTCCTTTATTCCCTGGGAACATCGCAAGCGGGAAACTCAAGCTTCGTTCCAACTTGGACTTAAAGATCCGTTCTCTCCACCATGAACACTCTTCTTCATCAGAGAGCCTAGTATGCCCTAACCGGGCAGAAGTGGCATTCTTCCACTTCAGAGTGGCACCGAGTGGGTCTGTTTCTGTTCTGCCATTGTCTGTGGTGTAAGAACTTCAGTGCGCAACACCAAGCAACAGTGTGTAACACCAAGCAACAGTGTGCAACACCAAGCAAGCCGCCCAGCCCAGAGTCAAACTGCAAAAACCACCTCACACCTCCTAGATAGCTTTTGTTTGCTCAAAAATGAAAGCTGGGTTTGGGCGTGTAGGTGTGTGGGCTTGGGCTTGTGTGTGGGTGTGTGTGTGTGAGTGTGTAAAGCCACCCCACCCAGGATTCTACACTACAGAACTTAGCTCCTTTGCTGCAGACAGGAAAGAGCAGGGGACTCTTGCAGGAGGCTGAGAGGCTAGAGAACAGGGGACTAGCTTTCTGCGATGCTGGTCGAGCATGCACCCTGACTAGGGCACGCTTCTCTGTCCTCACCTTGCATTCCATCTACAACAGACCTGAGAAAAAGCTGTGTGTATCATTTCACAATGCACCCAACCGGGATAGACCCTGAAAGCCATCTCGTTTAACTGCTCATTGCCTACCATGAAGCCAGTGAAGAGCACAGCAGTTAGCAGCATGATCAGTTCTCCAATGCATTTGTTTGGAAGGAAAGAAGGCCCAGGGCCCAGGCTAGCATTAGGAAATATTTCAAGCACACAAAGTTTGTTTTAGGCATATTTTAGCACATTTTTAAACTTTTTTGTTTTTTGAGGTAGGGTCTCATAAAATATTTAAGGCAGAATGTGGGAGGCTTTTGTCTTGATTTGAACTCTTTTAGGCCAGCCATCTAGTAGGCAGAATTAGTTTTGGTTTTGCTCACTTTCAAGCCATAAAGACTTCAAAAGAGCTGGTGTGGTGATCCCAGCACTGGTGGATTGGGCGTGGAGGGGGAGGCACGAGGATCAGGAGTTCCAGGCTAGCCTTGTCTACCCAGCAAGCTCAAGCCCAGGCTGGGCAACAAGAGAGGCCACCTCAACACAAAACAGCAGCGGCGGCCACGGACCGACAACGGAGCCCGACAGCAAAACCCACCCAATCTGTGAGTAGTGAGCAAGGGGCAGAGAGCCTGTGCTGCCCGGATGTTACCCAGCAGAGCCCACCAGAGACTGGGAACCCTGGGAAAGTCTCTCCTGCACTGAAGAGGAGCGGGGACTGTGGAGATCCTGCCGTGGCTCCTTCAACTCAGGTAACAAGCATGGATTTGTTTCCAGTGGTGAGCCAGCTGTTACCGCTTCTCTCCCCCTCCCCCCAAATCTTCCTTCACCCTTCCCTTTGTGCTAGCTAGTTCACAAATTGACCTTTGACCTACACACACCTACACACACACACACACACACACACACACCTACACACACACACCCACACACACACACACACACACACACACACACACACACACACCCCTCAGCATGCCTGTCCCTCTCCAGACATTAGAGAAACAGGTATAACTAAAGACATGTTTAAGTCTTAGAGGGTGATGAGAATAATATATCATATAGCATCTTAGATTACAAAGCATATAATACAATTTTTTTATTGTTTCATACAATACTCTTTTTTTTTTTTCAATGCTGGGGTTTGAACTCAGGGCCTCAGGCATTTTAGGTTGTCTTCTCAGAGAGAAGAAATAGAGCTGCCAGGCCTTTAAGGGCTCAGTTCAGTCTGTGCCTCAAGAGGTCACAAAGTCATCCTGGATGGTGGGATGAAGGAGACTTCACTTCTTGATGGAACAAACAAACAAACAAACAAAAATAAATGCTTAAGAGTGAGGTAGAGAAAGGACTGAGGAATACATCCCACCTCTGATCGCCATGCGTGCCCACTGGGTGAGTGCACCACACACAGGTGTGTACGTGCATACACACACACACACACACACACACACACACACACACACTCACACACACACCACAGATAGTGGAAGCAGAAAGATTAGTTGGAGAGAAAGGAAGCGCAGCATATTCCAACAGTGACCTCACTCATGAGGAATTGCTTTTCTCTCCTTTGATCCTTGGTCTACGTTTGGTCTGGAATCCTTCTCCCCTTTGGAAGCCCACACCAAGCACTCTGCAGGCTCACACCGGAGAAGACACAAGACCACGCTGCATTCTGCAGGACTATAAAGGGGCGGAGAAACGTGCTGATGGATTGGAACGGAAAGACTCTTGCAGCCTTCTGGTAAAGTTGCCTAGATGTTCTCGGGGCTGGTTGGGCTGGAAGAGATTTGGTTAGGTTCCCATCTGTCCAAATTCCCACAAGATCAGTTTGCTGGGTCAGCTGCTCAGACATTGCAACCTGTCAGAAAGCACGTGGTGGGATTCACAGACAGAGGTGACTGTTTTTCTGACTTGAGTATGAAGCATTAGGCGATCGTTGATTTGAATAGAAATTAGGAGACAGAACTGTTTCTGGCTTTTATTAAAATAAATTAAAGAACAGTCAAGTTAAGTTAAATACACAAATATACAGTCACTGAAGTGCTTAATCCTTATACAGCTTTTCTAAATATCTTCAGTTGAACATTTTAAATGCCACGATATTATGCATTTAACATAATTCAGTCAAAACTGCTTTGTAGTAAACTCTACTGTTACGCTAATTATTAAATGCTAATTAACAATAGTTACAGTTTCAAGTGATCTGAAATAGCCAGGCTTCTATACAAACACATTCTAAAACAATCAGCAAACACTAAGCATTCTTCAGAGTAATGATTTAGAGACACGGTCAGAGACTGCCATTAACAATTCTAATTAGTTTGCTTTTGTTTTGTTGGAGACAACCTCACTGTGCAGCCTTGGCTGGCCTTGAACTTGGAATCTCCCTTTCTCCCCCTTGATACAAGCCTATACCACCATGCCTGGAAAATGCTAGCCCAGCTAAGCCTCAATCAAACATTTCACTATTAGGATAAGAATTTATACTGTATCAAGCTGATAATAGAAAAATAAATAAATCAATAAAAATGGGGGAAAAATGCTAGCCCAGCATGGTCTTGAACTCTACAAGGAGCCAAGGACAGTGACTTTGAATTTCTTTTCTTTTCTTTTTTTTTAATTTAATTTAATTTTATTTTTTTGGTATGAGTGCTCTATCTGCACACATGCCTACATGCCAGAAGAGAGCATCAGGTCCCATTATAGATGGTTGTGAGCCACCATGTGGTTGCTGGGAATTGAACTTGGGACCTCTGGAAGAACGGCCGGTGCTCTTAACCTCTGAGCCATCTCTCCAGCCCCTACTAGCAAGATCTTTAGATATTTCAACAAATGACAACAATGACATTCTACATACGTATGAATTATACATATTTTATATGTCCAGCAGCAGGGATTGGGCTCAGTCAACTTTCAGAGAGTGGGTGTTAAGACATGGTCTTGCTATATAGACCAGGCTGGCCTCCAGTGAGGCCTTTGACTTTCACATAAGGTCCTCCCCCCCTCCCCCCCCCCAGTAGATTAAAAAAGAAGAAAAAGAAAAAGAAAGCATGGTGCCCCAGGGACAGCCTTAGAGTGGGCAGCCAGTGATTCAGGGACATTACTGTCATGTGGTGGGTGATTCCTTGTAGTCTGCCTGCTATAGGTCGTGTATGGAATTTTCTAACTCGCTGTAAAAGCAGAATCATCAATGCCTCACGAGAAAGAGACAGCAGAGTGTTCCCTGGGGTCAATAGGTAAACCTAGATCACCTTTCACACTCACCATGCTACAGCAATGTAAATGCAGAATAAAGAAGACTGGGCTCCACTGAGAAGAACTTCCAGTGTGGAAGCTCAATGTCGTGCCCTCTGTCGACAGCAGCCAGCAGATCTGCTTCTGCTCAGGATGTTATACAGTCAGCTGAAGAGAGATGACGCATGGAAATCGTCCCCTAAATCGAAGTGGAAGCCCACAGAGTCGCAGTGTCTAAGAAGTACAACTCTGATGGAATTGAAAGCATCTCCTCCGTGTGTGTGTGTGTGTGTGTGTGTGTGTGTGTGTGTGTGCCATTTTGGCATTACGGTATTTAAAGAGACTGTTCTAGGAGACGGAGTTGGCGTGGAGAAGCCACAGGGAAAGGAATCAGAATCCTCAGAGCGAATCGCTTCTCGGAGGCACCTTCATTTTCACACTGCTCGTTCGCGTTGGGAACACTGAGGATTCCTATCTCGTACAAAAATATCTACATATTAAGTGAGCGCACCGGGAGGAACAGCTTCCCTAAATGTTAGGGAGATGGTCAAATTTTAACTGGAGGACTTGTTTTCTTCCATCAGGTGTGGGGGAGATGTAGCTTCCAGGTATAAGAGGCAACAGTTGATTCTGATAGCAGAACAAGACAAAAAATGAGAAAGCAAATTGAAAACCGTTTCTACGGGTGCCGTTTGGGTTAGAAGAGTTAAGGTAAACAACAATAACGAAGACACACACACACAGAGCACAAAGATGGCAAAACTCACCAATTTTAAAATTATTCTTGCTCCCTTTGCCAAAAATTGTGCTCCTCTGATACTTGAATGGAAAGTTTGGTTCTGTGAGCTATTTTCAGGGTTCTCGTGGTTGTACTATTGCCTACTTCAATATGGTGCTTCTGAGCGTGCAGTCCAGGTTTAAAAGATTTTCACCAGCTATTCCGCAAGAATCCCCTGGAGACAGCATCCTGCCCGCATCATGGTTTTAAAAAGGGGGCCTCTCCCTCTATCTGCTGACACTGGTCTTAAGGAAGTGGTTGCTTACCATGCAGAGACCCAGCGTCTAGTCTAGGTACACAGTTGAACTCCTGAGGCAAAGCCACGGGAGGGAAAAGACCCTTGAGTAGCCTGTCTCCCTTCTTCCTTCCTTCCTTTCTTTTACATAGAATAACAGAATGGCAGCAGTCCATCAGGGATAGGAAGCCGACATGAAAGAACCCTTTAGGAGTGACGTTTATTAGGAGAAAGGGTCTTGAGACCAAGATTGGACCTTGAGGTTGAGCGGGGGAGACATTAGACAGTAATGGTACAATATGTGTGAGAGGTAAATACGATGGGACCTTCAAGGGAAAGAGAAGCTTCCGAATAAGAACCTGGACAGGACTTCATGAAGAAAATAGCCGTGCCAGGACGGCCGAGTGGCCCAAGGCGCCAGACTCACGAGTGAGGATGTGAGAGACAGGGAGAAAAAGAGAGCTGCCAGGAAAGGGGTGCAGAGCTCCCTTCAGACAAAGTCCCCCGAGCAATCCCTAGGACAAAGAGGTATCAGGCGTTTCGATGCTTTTGGGGGGTGCTGGGAAGTTGTACTCTACGTGATTCGGTTGGGCACAACACACTCGAGAGAGTGTGGGTGAACCAGGTCCCGGTTAGGACCATAAATTACAGGCTAAAAAAAACACAGCACAGAACAGCTTCCTTTTTTTTTTTTTTTTTTTTTTTTTTTGGTTTTTCGAGACAGGGTTTCTCTGTGTAGCTTTGCGCCTTTCCTGGAACTCACTTGGTAGCCCAGGCTGGCCTCGAACTCACAGAGATCCGCCTGGCTCTGCCTCCCGAGTGCTGGGATTAAAGGCGCGCGCCACCACCGCCCGGCCAGAACAGCTTCCTAACTCTGTGTCCCAGGGAGAGTTTCAGGGGGAGGCGTGGCCTGATCTCTTCTGGGGATCAGACCTCACGCAGGAGTGACCACTGTCTTAAAGGGCATTGCTGTTTCCCAGCACTTGTCTTTTTAAAGTTCTCCTCTTTTTTGGGGGGGTGGGGCGGGGCTGGTCTTTTATGGGGATCCTCTCCATTAGGATTGTAGAGAAATGTGTAATAAACTCAAGGCTCTACCACTCAGGAAAACCTCAAAATCTCCAAACTCCTTTTTTTTGGAGACAGGGAAACAGGATCTCGATGTGTATGCCAGGCTAGCCTTAAACTTTCATCAGTCTCCCACCCCCACCTACAGAATGCTGGATACTGGCATTATGGGTATGCATGACCATGACCAGCCAGTCCATCTGTCTGTCCTCTGTCCACCCTTCCACTCCCCATCCCTCTCTCCCCCACCTCTCTCCTTTCTTTCTTATGGCTGGGTCGCAGCAGCTCAAACTTCCTATGCAGCCAAGACAAAGAGCGTGGACCATGGATTGCTGACCCTCTTGCCTCTGTCTCCCAAGTTCTGGAACTACAAGTACCGAGCGTGTCCCCCCACCTCCAAGCCCTCCCCCCCTCCGCCCCCCGTTTATGCACTGCTGGGGATGCAGCTGCGTGCCTGGCTCAAGTTCCTTGAACTCGGGTCCTTGTCTTCCCCTCCTCTTTGCTTTGCTCTCTGGGGATCTGCGTGGGCTGGGTAAGGTCTCACAGTGGGTACATTATGGGGCCCACCACGTGTGGGTGGAGAGGATGCAGTTTACCAAGGAAGCCCACCAGCACCAAATGTGATGTTGGTAAGCGAGATTACCTAACGCCTGCCTGCCGCGCTTCCGTTTCTTACTCTTTGGTCGACAGTGGGCCTTTGGAAATCCTCTGTAACAGTGGTTTTCAACCTGGGGGGTGGCTACCACTTTGGAGTCAAATGACCCTTTCACAGGGGTCGCCTAAGACCATCAGAAAACACAGAGATTTACACTACGATTCATAACAGTAGCAACATTACAGTTACGAAGTAGCGACGAAAATGATCTTATGGTTGGGGGCCAGCACAACACGAGGAACTGTATTAAAGGGTCACAGTGTTAGGAAGGTTGAGAACCACTGCAGTCTGTAAAGTTCCTGGTTGGTATTGGTGGGACACACTTGAAGGCAAGGCCAGTACTTCTATGATTTAAAGAGTGAGCACCCCCAAACCCTTTTAAGGCTAGTTCAAGGCTAGACTCCCAAGCAACAATTCAACTGGGGTACCCAGAGGTGGGGTAGGGGAGTAATAACGCAGCTTTTCCCACGATAACGGTGGGATGGGGTGGGGTGAGAGGTTCTCAAGGCAGCAGGGCTTTTCCTATACATTCATATTGTATTTCAGATCATTGTCTCAGCCTCATCAACAAGCCCTAATCTTTATTAAAATTCTAAAGACTGACTTTACTTGAATGTGTATGAGTATTTTGGCTGCATGTATGTATGTGTGCCACAGGTTTACCTGGTACATGCGGGGGTCAGAGGAGGGCATCAGAGCCCCTGGAACTGGAGTTACAGAAGGTTGTGAACCACCGTGTGGGTGCTGGGAACTGAACTAGTGTCCTCTGCAAGAGGAACAGGCGTTTGTAACCACTGAGCCCCATCTTCAGCCCCAAGCCCTGATCTATTTGTTATTTAAGCATAAGGGCTGAGCTTGACTTGCAAGCAATTGGTACTGAAAAGTAAGAGGACCTGTGCAATAAAAATTTGGATACCTAGCAATTTTGTTTACATGGAAATAAGCAAATAAACAATTAAAAATTAGATCAAAGATGGGAGATTAATCAAATACAAAATGTATCCATCATTAGCCACTGATAAAATTACCAAGTGGGTTTATTAATAAATAACATCTATTTAGTTTATTTCAATGAGAGTAAGTACCTTTTATGTTACATATTATTTATTTTTGGTGCTGATGAGGAGAAAAAAATTCAAGACAAGCCTACTATCATGAAGTTTGTTTTAACTTTGAGATTTTCTGCCGCGTCGATGTTTCTCACGGGAGTCTGCTGTCTTGTTCCGTCATACTAGCCCATTTTATGATCGATAGCTTGGCTAATAGGCAAGGGCTCCATCACTGAGCTATCCCCCAGCCCGGTTTCTTCCTTTTGATCTGGAAAAGGCTGTCTTGGTGGTTCTCACCCTTCCTAATGCTGCGACCCTTTCATACAGTTCCTCATGTTGTGGTGATGCCCCCCCCGCCCCGCAACCATAAGATTATTTTCATTGCTACTTCATAACTGTCATTTTACTACTGTTGTGAATCATAATGTAAAAATTACGTTTTCTGGTGGTCTTAGGTGACCCCGAAGAGGTCACAGTCCACAGGTTGAGAAACACTGATCTAGAGGCTACTGAAAGGGTTGGGATCCTGTCCCAGTGATGGCAAAATTCACAATGGCAATTGTGATCAGGGTACCGTTGTGAGGGTTTAGGTACGCCACCTGGCAGGCTGTATATCCCGCCAATGTAACAGAAAGGATGCAGTGTCTGATTCAAGGGCAATCTGAGCACGATGCTGTTCACCTCGACTCCCGGCCACTTGGGAGGCCGAGGCAGGAGGGTCACGTGAGCCCACCAACTGGAGACTGACCTGGGAAGCCTACTGATAGCCCAACCATAGGAACGTGTGGTCAGAATGAGATCTGCCGACAAGCTGGGTCCTTTGCGGTTGTATGTGTATTCCAGCAATCACCGATATTTACTGAGATAAACAACTAAGTCAGAACAGCCGCAACCGAAGCTTTGAAAAAGCTTTGAAAAAGGAGAAAAAGGGGGAGACAGGGTGTTTCTAGACTGCTTCACGTGGTGAGCACCCGAGGTACCTGCGGACGCCTCCTGCGGGCTTTCCTTTTCATTTGCTCCTCTCGGAAAGAGTCGAAGTAGGCGCTGTCCAGCAGCTGGGCGCAGGTCAGCCTGTCGTCCGGGTTCATCTTCAGACAGCCCTTCGGGAGGGGAGACAAAGCAAAGTCGATGCCAGAGACGGGGCTCACGTGGTGACTGGGCACCCCAAACTCCCACGGATAAATGGGTAAATGGTCTAAGGAGGCAAGCGGCAGGCTGGACGCCGGCGGCAGGGAGCTCGCTGAGCGCTGGAACCGGGTGCCTGTAACCTTAGCACTCAGAAGGCGAGAGGATCAGAGTTCAAGATCATCCTCGACTACGTGAGTTCAAGGTCAGCCTGTGCCAGTGCCTCGTGAACCTCTGTCACCAAAAATACCAAAAAACAAATAAACAAACAAAAAAACCCAGGAACACCTCCCCCCAGAAATTAATTAAATAAATAAATCATCAAATTATTGAGTCCTTGTTTGTTATAGCTTTTTTTTCTTTTTTGAGAGAGAGTATCATTTAGCTCAAATTGTCCTTGAACTTGCAATATAACGAAAGGTGATGTTAAACTCCTGATCGTGTCTCCACTTTCCAAGTGCTGGGATTACAGGCATGTGCCACCACACCCGGCTGAGTCCTTGGAACTCTTTCACAGCGAGACATGCTCTTGGCACTCAGACTTTCATGTGTGCATGCATGCATGTGTGTCTATGTGTTCATGCATGGTTCTGCATGTGTATATGCATGTGTGCATGTGTGTATGACTGCTTGTGTATGCATGCATGTGTGTATGTGTGCATGTGTGTGTGCTCATGCATGTGTAGGGGCATACATATATGTGCAGATAAGCCTGCTCATGTGTGCCTGTGGAGGCCTGAGGTTGATGGTGGGAGTCGCTCTTGATCATTCTCCACCTTATTCATCAAGCTGGCCAGTATAGCTACTCTAGCTACCTAGACGGCTACGGAATGCCCCTTCTCTGCCTTTTGGGAGCTGGGCTCACAGGCAGGCTGCCACGCACGCTGGCATTTATGTTCAGGGGATCCAAACACAGCAAATGCTTCTCCACGGAGTCCCCTCCCTGACCTCCCACTGGGACTTCTAAGAGAAGACTGGGAGGCCCCCCGCGCATCAGGGGCTGTCTCTCATCCGTGACATCTTTTCACCGTGAGTGGAAGCCGTTTGTCCAGTCTGGAGGCATGAGTGTCACCAGGAACACGTTAGAAATTCAAGTTCCAGGTCCTACCCTCACCTGCCGAAGGGGGAGGTGGAGGTTTGAGGCCAGCCTGGGCTACACGATACCTTAGCTTGTCTTATGTTTTGGGGGGGGGGAGTGAGATGGCTCAGAGGGTAAAGGTGCTTGCTGCTAAGATTGACAGGGGTCTATCTCAGGGACCCACACAGCAGGAGAAAGAACCAACTTCCACAAGTTGTCCTGTGACCCCCACATATGTGTTGCAGCATGTACACACACACACACACACACACACACACACACACACACACACACACACACACACACACACCGTAAAGATCAGATCAAAAATGGAAAGACTAAGCAAACACAATCAACCAATCAACAGCCTCTGGTGAACTGAAAATCACCATGTGGGTTTATTAATAAATAACATTCATCTATTCAGTTTATTTCAATGATAGGTAATAAATATCTTCTATATGTTAGATATTGGTTTTGGTGCCATCAAAGAAATAAAAAAAGAAAATCAAGGAACGTGGAGCCGCTAGTCATATTACATCCACATGAGCAGGAAGCAGTGAATTAATGCTTCCTGCTAGTGCCCAGCTCACTTTCTCCACTCCTACCCAACCCAGGATCCCCTGCCCAGGGGATGGTTCCACCCACGGTGGGCAGGTTTTCCCACCTCAGCTAATTTAATCAAGATAATCCCCCACCACAGACGTGCCCATAGGCCAACCTACTCTAGAAAATCCCTCATCGAGTCCCCTTCCTTCCCTGGGTGATTCTAGGCTGTATCATGTTGGCAATCACAGCTAACTGCCACACTTTCAAGTTCATCACATTTTCATTCTGAAATCATTTACATTCTTATGTGGGGTTTTCAATCCATGGAAATGGACTTCCCTAAATGCGTTGTTTATTCAAAGAGCATTTTCAGAATCTAAGACGAGGCTGCCATCTGAGATGCTCTGGAGCTTCAGACCAAGAACAATGTCTTGCTTGAGTAATTTTTTTTTTTTCAAGACAGGGTTTCTCTGTGGAGCCCTGGCTGTCCTGGAACTCACTCTGTAGACCAGGCTGGCCTCAAACTCACAGATCTGCCCGACTCTGCCTCCCGAGTGCTGGGATTAAAGGTATGCACCACCACTGCTGGGCACTTGGTTATTCTTTTGAGCACTGATATTGATTTGATGGAGAGAGGGCTCCTGAGTCCTCATCTCCCCAAATAACAGTTTCTGTTAAAAAGGGACAAGTTCATAGAGGGACTCCTCTCAGCCAGCTTCAAACCCGGTAAAAGGTCTGAAGTGGGGATTCGAGAAACAAACGGCAGAGTCCAACGTGGGGTTCATTTCATTCTAAAAAATAATTTAAAAGCTGTTTGTGAGAGGGTATGTGTGTGTATATGTGGGCACACATGTCGGGGTGGGGGTGGGGTCAGAGGATAACTGTGAAGTTAGTGCTCTCCATCTTTATGTGGGTTCCAGAAATTGAACTTAGGTCATCAGGCATATGCCCATGCCTTTATCCTCCTCCTCCTCCTCCTCCTCCTCCTCCTCCTCCTCCTCTTCCTCCTCCTAACATTTAAAATGACTATTCCCGACTTGGGCGATGTGTTCCGCACAGCCCCTCCCCCACCTCTGTGCTGAATGACCAGGTTCAGAAATTATAGTTAATTCCCACATACCTTCATGAAATTTAAAGCCACAGGCTGAACATTCGAGAATTTTTCTTCAAGAGTTTCCTGGAAAACAAAGAGATTCAGTGTTACCTAACCACAAAGTAATGAATATGTACATGTATGCATGTGTGTATTTCAGAGTCTTGGGGAGCTAAATTCACAGCCCGTGCATGCTAGGCAAACATTCATCTCCCTGCCCACAGTGTGTGTATAACAAAACACTTGGGAGAAATGCCCTTAATATGTTTGATGACGCTTTTTAAGTTTTTTTTTTTTGTTTTTTTGTTTTTCGAGACAGGGTTTCTCTGTATAGCTTTGCGCCTTTCCTGGGACTCACTTGGTAGCCCAGGCTGGCCTCGAACTCACAGAGATCTGCCTGGCTCTGCCTCCCGAGTGCTGGGATTAAAGGCGTGCGCCACCACCGCCCGGCTTAAGTTTTTTTTTTTTAAACACGCTTTTACATAATTTTGTAGTGCAGTATGAAGGTTCAGAGATCTAAAACTAGGGTTGCTTTCTTAATTTTGCAGTAGATTACTCTTGGTGCTAGTAATCCTGGGAGGCAAGGGAACAGGGACGCTTCAAATATGAAACACGCCCCACCGGAGATCCTGCCGCGGTAGTTGGCTGTTGGGGCCTGGCATGTGAACGAGGGTGCTCTGAGCATTCTTGAGAACATACTGACTCACATACTGAGAAACACTAGAGCAATCGATGGCAGGTGAAGCTTCTCAGAACAGCCCGGAGGGGAGAGAGTGGAGAAATCGCAAAGTTGATAGCAGCATTCTGCTTTTCAAACCGGACAGCAGAGGGGTGAATTTGCTGTATCTAATTCTTTACAGTAGACATGTGACATGAGTAATTCTTGTGTGAACCTTTTCTTTTTCCATTTTTTCATGTGTGTGCATGCATGTGTGGGGTGAATGTGCATGTGTGTGCTCATGGAGGCAAAGGTTGAGAGGTCAAGAATCGTCCCCTACTGTCCTCCACCTTTTCGCTGAGGCAGGGTCTCTCAAACCCAGAGCTTGTCAATATGGCTGGTCTCTCTAGCCCGCTGGCTTAGGAATCACTTTCTGAGGTGAGAACTATCAGCAGGCCACCACGACTAGCCAGCCTTTATATGGACCTGGGGGGCTTCCAAACTCTCTTCCTCACACTCAAATGAGACACATGCCTTCACTGCTGAGCCATCTGTCCAGCCCTCTTTTTTAACCTTTATCTTTAACCTTGTATTGTATTTGTGAATAATTTTACAAACTATGTATAGCAAAAAATAAAAAAAATAATAATAAAAAGAAAATCTTTGGTAAATGGAGGCATCACATGTCACCATGGACTTGAATCACATGGCATGTGGCACCATCCGGCTTCTCGGGTTTCCCATGTTTGAGCGTCCCTGGCTGCAGCACGGTGGTATGTGGTCATTCCTCTCCTGAAGGTTCTCTCTTTCCCTCCACTGGATGAGTGGGCAGACAGTACGGAGATGGTTTGTGCTGGTAGTGGCCTGAGACAGAATCTCTCTCTCTCTGTCTTCACGATGGCCCGGAACTCACTATGTAGACCAGGCTGACCTTCAACTTGTGGCATCCTCCTGCCTCTTGCTTCCCCAGAGCTGGGATTACAGGCTTGGGTCACAACACCAAGATCAACACGGTGTTTGGGGGGGGGGGTCAGACCCTGAGCTTAGGTGACCTGATAGAGGGAGCTAGACCAGGCTAGACTAGGAGCAGACATGTCCATGGATCAGGAACTGCAAGGGTACGGTAGATTTTGTAGAATGAACTTCCAGGAGGAAACGCAAATTCTGAAACAAAGGTGTTTATTTTTTATTTTATTTTTTTATGGAGGGCAGTGTGTAGCCCAGAGTCTCCTCTATGTTTCAGGCTGGACTTGAACTCATAATCCTGCAGCTACTGCCTCCCAGGTACTAGGATTATAGGCACACTGAGCCTGACTTGGAAAATGTTTTAATTTTTTATTTATTTCTATTGCTCTCAGGTTTGTCCTGTGAGATGGAAAAAACACTTGAGAGAGAACATACCTTCAAAATAAAGAAAGTTGTTTGAAGTACTATTTATTTGTGAGGAAATAATTATTTCAGGGAAAGTTAACTTTAGTGTTCGACCAAAAACATCAAGGTGTTGTGTGATACTGAGCATGATTTAAATTTAAATGTCCATGAATTATGGAAGAGTTAGGTCAGCCAAACTGTTACTTTCCTTTATCATCTTTTTTTTTTTTTTTTTTAGAGACACGGTTTCTTTGTGTAGCTTTGCACCTTTCCTGGAACTCACTCTGTAGCCCAGGCTGGCCTCGAACTCACAGAGATCCGCCTGGCTCTGCCTCCTGAGTGCTGGGATTAAAGGCGTGCGCCACCGCCGCCCGGCTTCCTTTATCATCTTTATTAATTATTAATTTGGTATGTATGTGGTGGTGGTGGTGGGTAGGTACACACGTGTGCCAGTGTGGAAACCACATAAGTGTGTGAGGAGACCAGAGGACGACACTTGGTGTCCTTCCCTATTGTATGCCTTACTTCCTTGAGTTAGAGTCTATCACTGAACCTGGAGCTGTTTTCAAGTCGGGCCAGCAGTCAGCAAGCCCCAGTGTCCCAGTGTCCCCTGTTCCCACTGCTGGCACTGTGGGTGTGTGGGCACAACCACACCCCCCTTTTTGCACGGGTGCTGGGCGCTCATTGTTTATATAGCAAGCGCTCTTAGCCTCTGAGCATCTCTCTGTCCCTGTTCTGTGTGTGTGTGTGTGTGTGTGTGTGTGTGTGTGTGTGTGTGTGTGTGTGTGTGAGAGAGAGAGAGAGAGAGAGAGAGAGAGAGAGAGAGAGAGAGAGAGATTTACTATATAGCTCTGGCTGCCTTGTTCCAGAATTTGACATATGGCATCAAACTTGTGTTAATCGACCTGAGTGTTGGGATTATAGCCATGCTACGATGCCTGGATTTTTATAACTGGTTTTTGAGTCAGGGCCTCAGAACTGCCCAGGCTGGCTGGCCTCGAGCTCTTGAGCTCAAATGACGAAGCATCTCCAATAGTTAGGAATTTCGTTGTGCCCCACTGTGCGTGGCTTATGCATTTTAAACGGACTCACTTCGATTCTGCATCAGTGTTTCGTGCGGAACACAGCAGCCCCAAAGCACACGTGTGGAACACGCATCTGCTTACAGAAACAATACAAACAATAAACAATCCAGCCCCGAGCCGTTTACCATGTCTTCTGGTTCAGGGATGCTGATGCCACGGAAAAACTGGTTACTTTTAAAGATAGACTGATGTCTTGGGATGAGTTTTCCTGTAAAACACAAACCACACAGCTCACGATAACTCGGGCTAGAAAATCATAAAGCGTATCACAAAAATCTCCTAGGATGGGAGGTGTTCAGGGAACACTGTGCCTGAGTGTTCCCTGCAGACACCGGCAGTGTGAACCTCTGCAAAGGCCCCTGTGCTCTGGCGAGGACCACTCTCCACACAATCCTCCTTGTCAAACACCTCCCTGTAAGACTAAAAGAGTGTGGCCAGGGTTTTCATCTCCTTTCCTAACAATCGCTGGATGGAACTGATAGCTTCTCTATGCTATCAGGAGCTTGTCTATTCCAGGCTGGCCTCAAACTATGTAGCCAAGCATGACCTTGAACTCTTCACATTCCTACCTCTGCTTCCCAAATTCTGGGGTCACAAGCATGGGCCACCATGCCTGATCCATGCAGGGCTGCAGTTCAAACCTAGGGATGGATGCATGCTTGACAAGCACACCCTACCAACGAGCTGCGTGCCCAGCCTGAGAACTGCCGGTTTTCATTTCCACCGCATCAGTGAGGAAAATGAGGCTGAGAGGTTCGTTAGCTGGTCATACGAACGGGAGTCAAGGCAGGTCTGTCTAAAGAGTTGGGGAGCCGAGCAGACACACACACACGTAGAAGGGGTGACCCGCAGTGATGCTCTGCCCCACACTTCCGTGTTCCCCAGGAGAATGAGGAGAGAGAAGCAAAGAGTTGCCCAGCAAAAGCCAGAGCATTTTTCTGGGAAAGAATCGGTGTATTCATCCTGTGGAATGAGGGATTAATGGCTTTGCATCCAGGCTCCTGGAATGGCTCTGTAGTCTACACTGGGTCAGATCCGCTTCCAACCACGGGAGACTGCAACTTCTGACTGTCGAGAATAACACAAAGCTCATGAGACAAGCTTTCAAGTGGGCTGGTGGGCTCAGTGGGAGAGGGCGTGCTTAGCATACCTGAGAGGCCCTGGGTTCCATCTCCAGCATCACACACACACACACACACACACACACACACACACACACACACACACACAAATAGAACAACCCTTTTGTTGTTGATTTTTGTTTTTTTTAAGATAGGGTCTCTCTACATAGCCCTGGCTGTCCTGTCACTCACAAGGCTGGCCTCGAACTCACAGAGATCTGCCTGCCTCTGCCTCCTGAGTGCTGGGATTAAAGGCATGTGTCACCACACCTGGCCAAAATAAAACAAATCTTAACCCAGCACTTAGGTGGCAGAGATAGGTGGATCTCCGTGAGTTTGAGGCCAGTCTGGTCTATAGTGTGAGTTCCAGGACAACCAGGGCTACACAGAGAAACCCTGTCTCAGAAAAAAACATCCAATAAAACTAAATAAAACAAAACTAAAAATCTAAAACACCCTACCCAGATATAAATTCCTTAATAGGTTTTTTATTTTATTTTATTATTTATACTTCACTCATGTCAAGTACTATATAAGCAGCCAAGGGAGAGAAGCAATTAAACAGTCCTGACCAGCCACAACACCTCTAACCAGGACAATTACCAGCATGCAAGATATGCATAAATGTGCAATAGTGGTACCCACATGCCAGTGGCAACCAACAGCTGTCTAACTGGACGTAAGGCCCATTCAGAGGGAGGGAAGTCATGTCCGGCACTGGAAACCTAACCAGCTTCCCTGGCCTAGTGAGGTCATGGGCTTTGGAAAAGAATACACTACAGCCACTTGTCTAGACCAGCAATAAGTCCTTACTGCATTCTAAATCTTATACTTACACCCACAGGTAAGTGCAGCCACAAGCCCTCACCCGAAAGGCCTCTCTTTATAGCAAATAGAGACCATCACAGAAAACCACAACACAGAGACCCACAGGCCATGGGGAGCCCGCTACCATGGAAACATCTACATTGCAGCTCCTCCATCTATGGTTCAGGCAACATCAAGGAGAAGGGGTGGAAAGACTGTAAGAGCCAGAGCACCAGGAAGTCTGCAGAGAAAGAGTCCTTCCTAGAAATGGCAAGACTGGAACAAACAATAGCAATATCCACAGACACACCAATGTGGAAGGGGGGATTTTCACGGGGTCCCACTCCGAACGAAGAACTGTGGGCAGCTAACAACTCCTGAGAGAAGGGAAATTAGCCTCTTCCAGGGATGAGCTCCCTTACTGGTGGCAAACTGGTCAGCCACAAAGCCATATACACACAAATAATAAAAATGGACTCAGTAGGTTTTATATATATGTACACATATATAAATATACATATATTGACATGCATATAGATGTATGTATATAACAATAATAATCAAAGAAAAAGAGGCTGTCACCTTGGGCGTGGGGGAGCATGGGAAGGGTTGGAGGGAGAAAAGGGAGGGGGAAATGTGACATAATTCTATTTCAATTAAAAACATATTAAGAAAATAATAAAAGATTAATTTGGAAAAAAAGGAGTTTCTTTATTTTACTTATAGGTATGTCTGGGGAGTAGGGGTGGGGGTAGGGGTTACACACATGAATGCAGGGCCAGAGGTGTTGAATCCCCTGGAGCTGGAGTTACAGGCAGTTTTGAGCCACCTTATAGAGGTTCTGGGAACCAAACTTGGGTCCTCTGCAAGAGCAGTATGGGCTTTTAACCCCGGAGCCTCTGTCCAGACCACAAGTTTTTTTCTTAAAACTGAGAATTCCTAACTTGTAAGGTACTGCACAGATGAATTACGTTAATATCACTTTAAATGTTGGCTGCCCTGATCAGGAAATCATATGAGACTTACTGGATTTCCTTGGCAAGCCCTCTGCAGACTCACGGCTGGCACTATGTGTTCAGACAGGACTGGGCTTCGGCTACAGCCGAGAGACCAGAGACCTTCCCCGCAGAGCCTCTGAGAAGCAATGTGCTTCCTGCTCTCATGACATTATCTATCGCACGGGTGCTAGAAGGCACACGTGGACCACAGAATGCAGTTCATACCCAGTGTCCTGATGATCAAATAAAGTTGGTCCACGTCTGATTTTCCTGGCCAGAGCGGCTGACCCGTCAGGAGCTCCGCAAAAACACAGCCGACGGCCCACATGTCCACGGAGGAACCGTACTTCGTGTCTCCCACGAGAAGTTCAGGGGCTCGGTACCACCTGGTGGCAACATAGTCCGTGTAGGCGTCTCCTGGAACTGCGAGGGAGAGCATCAGGCAGATCAGATGATGTCGTCTATCCTGGCCTGAATGCCTCTGACCCACACTCCCTGGAGCGGCTGGTACGGCAGCTCATTCTGAGGGCTTCTGTGGCTCTCAGCCGGGAGAAGACACTCACTGAGCCAGGGCCCCAGTGAACACTGAGTGCTCCCTAGCTGGAGAACATGGGAGAATCGTCCCGGACAGGTGTGAGAATTCCTGTCCTGTCACCTGAATCTAAGCCAGATCTCACTTGTTTCTATTTCTCATCAGCACGGTGCTTGGTTTTCACTAAATGGTGTCCTCCACAAAAACATAGGTTTGAAGTCCCAGTTTTTGATACCTGTGAATTTGACCTTGTGTGGAAATAGGGTCTTTTCAGACATTGCTGAGTTACGGTGAGGCAGGCCCTGAATTCAGGGGCTGGTTTGTATGTGTGTGTATGTGTAGGAAGAGAGAGAGAGAGAGAGAGAGAGAGAGAGAGAGAGAGAGAGAGAGAGACAGAATATGTATACGTGCATGTATGTAGACAAAGATTCCCCTTAGGTCTTTGTTCCCCACACCCACCCACCCACTCACCCACCCACCCACCCACCCACCCACCCCTTTTTTTTTTTTTTTTTTTGGTTTTTCGAGACAGGGTTTCTCTGTGAAGCTTTGCGCCTTTCCTGGAACTCACTCTGTAGCCCAGGCTGGCCTTGAACTCACACCCTGAACGCGCCCGATCTCATCTGATCTCGTAAGCTAAGCAGGGTCGGGCCTGGTTAGTACTTGGATGGGAGACCCCTTTTTTTAAAGACAGTGTCTCATGTATCCCATGTTGTCTTTGAACTCCTAATGCCCCTCCTCTACCTTCAAGTTACAGAGAGGTGAGCCACATACCTGTTTATGTGTGCTAGGTAGGGCACATGAGCATCCCAGCCACGTCCCTAACCCTTACCTTGATTTGAGACAGACGCTCACTTTTACCTGGAATTTCCTAATCTGTGTGTAGGCTGGCTGGCCCGCAGAGCCTCGGGGATCTGCTTGCCTTTGCCTCCCCGGCACCAAGATTATAAACAAGCACACAATATAACACACACACACACACACACACACACACACACACACACACACACACACACACACAACGTGGATTCTGGGGACTGAACTCAGGTCCTCAGGATTGTCCAGCAAACATTTAACCATCTGAGCCATAACTCCAGTCCAACGACTGGCATTATTGCAAGGTGGCCCTGCAGGGACACAGAGACAGACAGACAGACAGACATGTGAGGTAGAGCAGATGCTGAAGGAAGTGGCTTCCAGGTGAGGAGCAGAACAGCCTGGGGTGTGGGAAGGAGCCTCCCGGACCAGGAGAGACCACATTCTATGGCTTGAAGCCCTGTGGGTTGTGGCTGTTCACTGTGGCAGCCACAGGGACCACTGAAGTCCTGGATGGCTGCTTGCACTGACTTTCCCCGCCCATGACTGTTTTTCAGGACTATTGTGACAACCTGGTTTGACTCCTTGCCCCGTGAGTCATTCCTGTATGACTGACAGATGATGGAGATCTGGGTGAAACCGATCCCGTCAGACATGTCCGTCTACCCTGGAGCTTGCACTGCCTAAGTCAGGTGAGGGGAATCCAATCCATCCCATGATGCTATGTGAGCCGGAAGGTCCTGGGAATCTTAATTCTTCTCCCTCTGAGGTTGGAGGGGAGCTGATGAAACAATTCCCATGGGCCTTTTGGTGACAAGAGTCACGTGTGAGTTCTTGAACCAAGTCCACAAATGTGCCACAGACCAAGAAGAGCTGGTAACATAGTGACTTGCAGAGATGGGGGGATGGGTGCTTCTCTGCCTTTAAAAAACAGGTCTGGGGCCGATGAGATGGCGGGATGGGTAGAGGTGTTTGCCATCAACCTCGACCACCTGAATTTGAAACTTGGGAATTACACGGTAGTGGGAGAGAACCCACTCTGGCAAGTTGTTCTCTGACCTCCACACATGCTCTGTGGGGTACACACACATCAAATGTTTTTTTTTTGTTGTTGTTGTTGTTTTGTTTTTGTTTTTCGAGACAAGGTTTCTCTGTGCAGCTTTGCGCCTTTCCTGGATCTCGCTCTGTAGACCAGGCTGGCCTCAAACTCACAGAGATCCGCCTGGCTCTGCCTCCCGAGTGCTGGGATTAAAGGTGTGTGCCACCACCGCCTGGCAAATAAATGTTTTTGTTTGTTTTGTTTTTATTTTGAGAAAGGGCCTCTTCTTGTAGTCCCATCTGTCCCAGAACTCTTGAAGTAGACCAGGGTGGCCTCGAACTCATAGCGATCCCCCTGTCTCTGTCTCCTGATTGCTGGGATTAAAGGGGTGAGCCACCACGCCAGGCAGTTGTGTGCTTTGTTTGTTTGAGACAGGGTCTTATTATGTAGCCCTGGCTGGCCTCAAACTCATAGAGAGATCTGTCTGCCTCACTCAACCTCCTAAACTCAGGATTGAAGGCATGCGCCGTTTCTCGGCTTGAGACAGGAATTAATTATGTAGCTAATGCTGGCCTTGAAGTCTGGATCATCCTCCTTCATTTGCCAAGCCCTGGACGACTTACAGACATGTGTTATTACACTGGAGGGGCGACTCTCCTTAGTCAGTGACTAACAGCAGTGTGACCACCACGAAAGACAGCTCACAATCCAGAGGCTGCCGCTCATCACTCAATAGTCCCTGGAGCAAGAACAGAAAACAACCTCGACTATCCACGGCTCTTTCAGGAAATTATATGAACTTTTTTTTTTTTGAGACAAGGTCCTGTGTAGCCCAGGCTGGCTCAAACTCCCGATGTAGTCAAGGATGACCTTCAAGGTCATCTCTACCTTCTAAAGGTTCCATCTCTACCTTCGAAAGTGCTGGGATCACAACTATGTTCCTCCATGCCCAGTGTATGCAGGGCTTCCGGAATGCTAAGCCAGTCCTCTACCATTTGAGCCCAGGTCCTACACATTCATTTCCTGTGTAATTGTATTCACATTGTCTGTATAAGTTTAGCTTTTTTTAATTTTTTTATTATTTTTTTTTATTTTTCGAGACAGGGTTTCTCTGTGTAGCTTTGCGCCTGTCCTGGTTCTCGCTCTGTAGACCAGGCTGGCCTCGAACTCACAAAGATCCATCAGCCTCTGCCTCCCAAGTGCTGGGATTAAAGGCGTGTGCCACCACCGCCCGGCAAGTTTAGCTTTTTTGCTTAGTGTCTTGAACATTTTCTTTTTCTTTCTTTTTTTTTTTGGTTTTTCAAGACAGGGTTTCTCTGTGTAGCCCTGGATCTCACTCTGTAGACCAGTCTGGCCTCAAACTCACAGAGATCCACCTGGCTCTGCTGCCTGAGTGCTGGGATTAAAGGCGTGCGCCATTTACTTTCTTTTTGAATTTAGTATGTGTGTATGAGTGTTTGAGTACTGCGTGCGTGCGTGCGTGCATGCACAAGTGTGCAGGTCAAAGGTCAACCTCAGGGACTGGCCCTCACCTTCCTTGTCTGAGGCAGCCTCTGGTTTTCCTCGAGGCTACGTGCCTGGGAGTCTCTGGGGCTTTTCCTATCTTAGCCTCTCATCTCATCCCCAGAAGAGTGGGGTGAGAAATGCGTGCCGCGCGTCCAGCTTTTACGTGGCTTCTGGGCGTTCGCATTCTAGTCCCCAGACTTGCGGGGACGTCACACGGAGCCACGTCTCCAGTCTTTGAGCATGTCCCAGTGTCACTGACAGTTCTGTGACCGTCACGTCTAACCGGAATCTTCCATCCCGGGAGATGAACGCACTTATTATCGAGTTCTCAGCTTAGGAGCGTGTCCGTTTGCCAGTTTCTCTTTTCGGCCGTGGCAGGGACACGTTGTCATCCGGGCCCTTTTGTTTTGTACCACCAAGCACAGTAGCCTCAGGGACACTTGGCCAGATTTGTTTCAACTTCTTCAACCTTCTTCTGTCACCTCTGGGTACCGTTGGGATGGAGAGGATGCTCGTACCCCTCACCCCCCCCCCCCCAACCCAGTAAAGTGCATGTTGCTAACACAGGTCCCTGCTGCTTCCACGTCCTATACTCTGGCCCCTCACTGCCTTGGGATGGTGTACTTCCTCTTAGCACTCTCTCTGAATCCTGGGGGCTCTTTAATTTCCAGCTGACTCTTACAGGCTCCCTAGTTCTGTGGAGCTTTTCCAATCACTCAAGCCCATGCTGCTATCTCTCCCCAGGGGACCATCTGCTCCTTCACTAGCACTTTATGGCCAACTATCTTGTCTCTTTCTTTCATCTCATTTTCTTTGGGTTATAAGTGCCCGCAGAGCAGAAATGCATCTTACGATGCTCCCTTTCCACTCCTGTGGGGCCAAGCACGCAAAGATGCCATCCATCCAGTAAATTCCAGCTGAATGGAAAAAAGCCAAATTATCAACTGACTGAAAGGCTAACACGAGACTTTTTTCCCCCTCTTTGAATAACAAGACATTTAGCATCTACCCATTAGCTTAAGTAAGAACACAAATGACATCGATGTCTAGTCATCTGGACTAGATGAAGCAGGTGGCAAAATGTACTCACTCAGAATTCGTGCGAATCCAAAGTCACAAATCTTGATCATTCCTTGCTTGGTTATTAGGATGTTTTCGGGTTTTACGTCCCGATGAATACACTGAAAGATGATATTTGCTTAATTATCCGAGCCGTCAAAACGACAATGAGTCTACAGCGCCTATTAATTTAGACGATGGGTAGCTTACCAAAGCCTCATTGCTTACAATTGAAAAACAAAAAGATGGCCTTCATTTCCCTGGAAAAATTTAAGTTGTCAATTTTCATGTATGAATCTTGTCAAGTGAAAGAAAAACTTTATCTAAATGTCAGTATAAATATTATCAAAGATATGAAAACCATAATTGTTACACATGGAAACTGCGTCTGTCTGGATCTTTGGAGGAAAGGAACACACATAATACAGTGAGTTTGTTCACTTTCTACTGTGCCTGTCTGAACCGTAATAGGAGATGGAGAAGGGTAAAGAATGGGAGACTCCAGGTGCCTTTAACAAGAATCACTGCTGTTCATGAACCACAGCTCAGGGTGAATAACGCCGATCCGAGAGGCTGAAAAAAAAAAAAAATAACCACCAACAACTCAACAACACTGAGATGCTAACATAGGAGCATGAGAAAATGAGCACATTTGGAAGAGAGTGTCATCTTGGGGGAGTTAAATTTGTCTAGAAACTATATCCACCCTCCCAGTGAGAACGCTCAGCAGGTAAAGGAACTTGCTCGGCATGCCTGGCAACCTGAGTTCCATCCTTGGAACTCGTGTGACGGTGGAGGGGGAGACTCTGCATCACAGAACTCTTCTTCTCTGGCCTCCACACGCACACTGTGGCATGCACCACCCCCATCGTGAACATATCCACAATGATTATCATACTCGGAAACTATCCAGTTTTTAATAGCGGCTATAGATTATTCACGAGAAGTCTGCGGTATTTAAAGCTCGGGGTAGAGGATATGTTCTTCCAAATGGAGATGCAAAGTCAATTATGTTAAGCTCTAATCATTGTTTGGTTACACTCAGGTAAAAAGGCTGACTGGATAATCCATCCACCTAGCTATCTGGTTATTAAATAGATACTTGTTGAGCACCTTTTATATGAAAGGTCCATGCTAAGCCTGGAAGAGGCAAAAAGATGGGTCAGCCTCAGACACTTCATTAGTAATCTGTACTCAAGAGAGGGGCTTGATGTTCAGGTCAAAGGCACAAACACTCGAGGTAAACTGTATCTTCAAAAACTATAACAGGGCCAGAGAGATGGCTCAGTGGTTAGGAATACTGGTTGCTCTTCCAGAAGACCCAAGGTCAATTCCCAGCACTCACGTGGTGGCCTACCACCACAGTAACTCCAGTTCTAGGGGATCCGAGGCCTTTTTCTGGCCTTTCCAGGCACTAGGCATGCCCGTGGTGCACAGACACACACAGGCAAAAATACCCATAAAGAAAATTAAAAACTGCCTATTTCTATATGAGCTTTAGGTGAATGTTCCGTTTCCTGGAGTACGGTGGAAAGAACAGATTGATTCCATCCAACACTGTCTTTTCTAAAAATCGGAAGGCACAAATTGCAGCATGAAGACTAGGATTATGTAGCTTGTGAACAGCCTCCCTTTCCGGTCATAGGAAATGAAGGTATTTGCTTTGTTCTAATGGAAACTTCAGTGGCTTTTGTAAAACTAAAGAGAGCCTCCCTAAGTACCAACAACATTCAGTTCCCTGATCTTGAATTTTCTTTTCCAGCGATCCTAGACTACCGTGGTTGACGTCTTGCTGGCATCAAAGCTGCCCATATGGTACACCGAATCAGTGTCTTGGCACTCTGAGTACCCACTCAGAAGGTCTAGAGATATTTTATAAAATCTCTCATTCTAGCAAAAGCACCAGGAGCCAATTGGAGTGAGCTCCCGCTGGCCCAAAATGGGCGCAAAAATGACGGTAGGCATCACAAACACCCAATCGATAAGAGCCACGGATAACCCGAGACCACATTGCTCACTGAGGGAGGATGCTGAGACATGTACGTCTTCATCACTCTGAACAGTGACACGTGAAGGAAATCATCATGCATTTGCCTTATTTTCATTTGCTTATTTTTTTTTTGCAGTTCAGGGGATTGCAATTAGCCGATACTTTGCACATACAACCATACATCCTACCAGTGGGCTATATCCCCAGGCTTAAAAGACTATTTATTTGCAGCATGGTGATTGAACACAGAGCCTCGGGCATGCTAGTCAAGTGCTCTACCAAGGAGCTCTACCCCAGCCCATACTTGTCTTCCTATATTTTACAGTAGCCAGAGTCCACGAGGGTAATCTACTTTCTATGCAGTTCCAACTACTATTAGTACCAGGTTATTTTTGAGGCAGGATCTCATGCTACGACCCAGGCTGTCCTCCTCCGATTCACGACCCTCCTGCCTTGGCGTTCCCAGAACTGCCATCACAGGTGTGTACCACCATACCTGGCCGCAATCCCAAGGACAATGCAGAAGCGATAATAATACCCTTGGAAAACGACTATTTCTTCATCTTCAGGAATTCTGGATCCAGACAAAAATGTGGAAACCATCAGGTGGAAAGATCCACAGGCAAACTGAAAATGGGGGTTGTGGGGGTGCGGTTGAGGGGCAGTCAAACTAGTAACTCCTGAGCCTACCAACCAGGATGACCATCACCATGGTCAGGATCACCCGACATTCGACATCTCGTGATGTTGATACAGTAAGAAGCATGTGACGCTACAACATCAAACATTGTTATCTAAAAACAACAACTATGAAACTAACCTGGAGCTGGGGAGATATCTCAGTGGGTTAGAGGGCTTGCTCTGCAAGCATCGGGACCTACTTGGGTCTGGATTCCCAACAAAAAGCAGGGCAAGGCTGTCTGCACCTGTAATACCAGCACCGGGGGTGGAGAGAGGCAGATCCCGAGAGGTTGCTGATGGGCTAGCCTAATGAAACCTGCAACCTTTTGATCTCAAGGCAATAAGGCAAAACACAACAGGGAAAGACAATGTCTTGCTTTGGCTTGAACTCCTGTATGTGTACACACACACACACACACACACACACACACACACACACACACACCCCAAACCCTACAGTACGAACAAAGCCCAACCAAGTGCCGTGATGGGTCAGGCTATAGAAAAGATGGAAAATTATTCTAACCCAATTTAGACAGTTCTCGGAATCATTAACTCTGGAGTGGAAGGAAACATTAAGCCCTCACAAACTTTGAATTCACAAGCTCTCTGTAGCTTGGTTCTCACGGAAATGCGAGCAGGGCCGTGAGTGGTGAACTGTTTTTCCTTCTTTGTGTAGCTCGCTGTGATCTTAGTCCTCTGGCTCGCTCTTTTCTCTCTATCTGAAGAGCTGTTACAGAGAACTCCCTAGCATTGGAAGGTGCTACTTACGTTATGTTTGTGGCAGAAGTTAAGGGCTTCAAGGGTTTGCCACAGCACGCTTTTGATGACTCCATCAGGAACGCTGGAGGGAAAGAACAAAAGTAGACATGAAAACTCCTGGGATGGGGTCCTGGGGTGGGGTCCCGGGCTGGGAACCAGGGGGGAGGGGCAGATGGGCTAAACATAGTCAAAGAGCACAGCGCACGGGGTGGGGGTGGGGGGCTAGAATTGCTTTAAAAATTATCTACATGGTTCTTCTGCCTACTTGTATGTTTGTGCACCACAAACGTGCCTGGTGCCCTTGGAGGCCCGAAGAGGGTATCGGATCTCCTGGAACTGGAGCTACAGATGGTTATATGCAGTCATGTGAATGCTGGGAATCAAGCCCGGGTCCTCTGGAAGAGCAGCCTGTGCTCTTAACCACAGAGGCATCTCTCCAACCATGCTTTTTATAAAGTCTTTGTGTATATATATAAATTATGTGTTTGTCTATGTCCATGTATATGAGAGTGGACACACGTGCCATGGTGAACATGTAGAGGTTAAAGGGACAGTCTTCACCTTCTGCTTGGTTTGGGACAGGGTCTGTTCATTGCTAGTCACTGCATATGCCTGGCTAGCTGGCTCTGGAGCTTCCAGAAAGTCTCTTGTCTCTACCTCTCATTTTGCCTTGGAAACATTGGGATTATGGATACACGCTACTGGGTCTTGTTTCATGTGGGTTCTGAGAATTCCAGTCCTCACAGATGTGTAGCAAATGCTTGACCCATAGAGCCATTTCCCTAGTTCAACTCCCCATTAAAAACAGACAAACAAACAAACAAGCATGTTTACAGGCCTGTTCTCATGGCACAACCCTTTCATCTCAGCACCCAAGAGGCATAGGCAGGAGGAGGGCTAGTTTGAAGCCAGCCTGGGCTACATAAAAACCAAGCAAAAAGCTAGGTATGGTAGTGTAATCCCACCACTCAGGAAGCTGAGGCTGGAGGCTCACCACAAGTTCAAGGCTAGCCTGGACTGCAGAATGAGATTCTGAAAAAAAAAAATGAAACCATGTCTTGAGGACAGCCAGAGTTACATAATGGACTAATTCTGTCTCAAAAAGAAAACAACAAAAAAATGAACTTTTTTTTCTTTTTAGACAGGGTTTTTCTCTGTGTAACAGTCCTGGCTGTCCTGAAACTTGCAATGTAGACCAGGCTGACCTCGAACTCACTGAGATCCACCTGCCTCTGCCTCCCAAGTCCTAGGAGTAAAGGTGTGCGCCACCACCACCCGGCTGAGAAAAGCCTTTTTAATGATAGGTATGTAATTTTATAGTTTGAAAATATCCATGAAATGATGTGTACTGCATGAAAAATTAACTAACTTTCCAACGTCAGAATAATTGCTATATTTTAGGATGGCTGTACATTCAGGCACCTCTTGATTTTCTGTCTCTGTCTCTTTCTCTCTCTCTTCATTTACTTTCTGACCTTTAGTTTGAATAAATATGCTCATCGCTTTCAAATTTTAAAAGGTGTACATGATGTCTTATCCCTGACACCTGCCTGGCCACCCATCTATTCTTCCCACTCCACCCCTGCCTCTTCCAGGAACATTTGATGTGCAGAGGTTTCAATGCCAACATGGACACATGTGTTCCAGTAGCTGCGGGTGGAGCTCATCTGGGTGATGATGCTCGACGTCCACTAACAACAGTTGAACCAACCGTTCTATCGAGAAACGCTCCCAGGAGTTTTTACAACTCTCCATCGGATGACACATAAACACTACCTTCTTGTTATCTTGCTTGTTCTTTTTTTTTAAATGTCTATTTATTTATTTACTTTTCAAGACAGGGTCTTACTGTGTAGCCTTGGCTGACCTGGAACTCACTCTGTAGACCAGGCTGGCCTCAAACTCACAAGGATCCACCAGCCTCTGCCTCCCAAGTGCACCACACCTACCCAAGCTGGGTTTTCTTTTTTTTTTAATTATTAAATGAGGGAGAGGGAACATGGGCCAGGGTGCTCGTGTGGAGGTCAGAACATAGCATGCTGGAGTCAGTTCTCCCATCCTGTGGGTCCCAGTCCCATTGTCAGGCTTGGGGCCAAGTGATTCCTCTTCCTGGGCCATCTTGCCAGCCCCACAACTTTCTCTTTAAGATCCATCCTGGAAGTTGGGTGTCTGGGGTCAGTGTTACATCTTGATCCTGTCCTGGGTGGGTGGGTGGGGGGTGCGGCACATTTTTTCGGGGAAATTGGTAAGCTCAGAGGAGTCCCTCTAAACCTTTAAAAGCAGGCACTGGGTTGCCATGGAACGGGTGCACAGCCTGTACGAGGGAGGGGTCCACACCCCATGAGGAGTCCAGAGAGAATAAAGGTCATCTAAGAACAGGAGACTGTGAGCTCCCTGTCTCTGGAGGAATTAGCCTTTTGCGGGGGAGCATTGGCAAGTGTCCTTGGCTGGCTATCGCTGTCCCTGGGGAACTGAGGGGCCGGGCAGCTTTTGTCTGGGGACATTCGACTTCATGCCACCATCTCTGTGAGCCACAGCAACCACATTCCATTCTTGGTGCCTCTGCATTACTTACGTCACTGCCCTATGGCACCTTCACATTTACATCCTGCCAAGCTACCCTCTCCAAGGAAGGCTGTACCCATCACACTCCCACTGAACATCTGTGCAGATACGTCTCCGTGTCCTCATCATTGTGCCAACACTTGGTTTTTGCCAACGTGATGCTTGCCTATGGGTGGATAAAATGATATCTCATTTTGATATTTGGTCGTTCCTTATTTTTTAGTGATTAGTAATTTCACATGGTGGCACTGGGAATGTGGTCTGTCTAGTATGCCTGAAGTCCCGGCTTTGAGCCCAAGAACCCCATAAAATCGGGCATGGAGGGGCACACCTGCAATCACAGCACTTGGAAGGTAGAGGCGGGAGGATCAGAGTTCAAAGTCATTCTTAGTTACGTAGCAAGATGGAGGTTAGCCTGGCTGCATGAGGCTGCTTCAATTAAATAAACATATGTTCATTCACGTGATTACTGGGCGCTACGCTTCGTGTATTTCCATTTCGTGTCTTTGTGTTCTTCTTTTCTTTATTCATTTGTGGAGTGTGCATCGTATTTTTGCATGTGCATGGGTGTGTGTGTGTGTACAGTGTGTACATGCACATGGCGCCCGAGGCTGATGCCAGGAATCATCTTTGAGTTACCTTGAGGCAGGCAGTCTCAATCAAACCAAGAGTTCCCTGAGCCAGCTTGCTCTGGGGATCCCATCTGTGCCTTCTGATGCTGGAATTACAGGGAGGTTGCGGTATTTCCACCGGTTTCTAGGGGTCTAAACTGGTCCACAGGCTTGTGTTTCAAGTGCTTAGCTGCTGAGCCATTTCCCCAGCCCCACCATCTCATCTATCCTTTATCCTGTTTGGATTGGTCGGTCTGTCTTCTTTGTCTTCTTCTTCTTCTTCTTCTTCTTCTTCTTCTTCTTCTTCTTCTTCTTCTTCTTCTTCTTCTTCTTCCTCTTCCTCCTCTTTCCTCCTCCTTCTTCCTTCTCCTCCTTTTTTAAAATAATTTATTTTTCTTACACGATTTCACACACACACACACACACACACACACACACACACACACACACACAATCACTTAGATAGCCGGTCCCCGACCACCCTCACTTCCCTCCCTCTTCTTCCCAACACCTCCCCTCCTACTTTGTCTTTGTTTCTTTGGGGCCACTGTATTTCATCAGGTTGCTAGCACTTGTCTCCCCCAGACTCTCAGCATTCACCTACTCCGTGTACACCGCTCTGTTACAGAACTGCAGATCTTTTTCTCGGGGTGTGGCTCATCTTTTCAACTCTGTTGATGCATATGGGACTGCTATTTTCAGAAACCAGAGACGCAAAGGTTTAATTTTTATATTTAAAATTTTAAATTATATTTTGAGCTTCTTATTTTGTGTGCATGTGTGTACATATGTAAGTAGATATGGAGACAACTTGGAGGAGTGAGCTCTCTTTTTCTGCCATCTGGATCCCTGGGCTCGAACTCAGGCCATCAGTTATGGTTGGCCCTCATGACAAGGTGCTTCCATGTGAGGCTGGTCTATTCAGCAAAATGAACGGAGGGGGCGATTTTCCTCAGAGCAGTTCCTTACCTTAGGTCATGATTATAGTAGCGTGTTCTTGACAGTCAGGTATCTGGTGGCAACCTTTGACTCCAGACCTGATTATTAATATTATGAGAGACCTAATTCTCAGTATAAATCCTTTTCCAGATGAAGTATCTACTTCTGTTTCCTGCACTGAGTTTTTTAAATAATTTTATCCTTGTCTACCTTTTCCTAGGCAAACCCAAGACAACAACTTTTTTTTTTTTAATGAAATGCAAAGGTGACCACAGCCTCCCTGGATGCTAAGAGGCAGACTGCTCAAGTACAAATCCCACTCTGCTACTTCTTACTTTCGTAAGTTATAACCTTAGAGAGTTATGGAAGCTTCTGTGTCGGCTGTATGAACATGGAATAACACAATTAAATTCACTGAGAAAGCTACCACCCAAACGCCTGGGCTTCACATCCACTTGTGTTTAGGAGATGAAGGTCTGAGGTCAGATGAAGCCAGTAGTCATGACCATGACCCTGGCACGGTGACCAGAGGTCCTAAAGATAGAAGATGTTCTGGGGAGACAAAGACTAGGAGTGTGGGGAAATAGAAGGCTGAAGCAAGAAGCTGTAGGGTTCCACGGAACCTTCCAGAACCCAGGCCTTGCACTAAATCCAAAGTCATCAAAAGGAATTAAGTAAGAAGTGATACAGCACAGAGAGCAGATTTCTAGGGAGTAATGTGACTATGGGGAAGAGAATTAGGAAGCTGGTCTAGCAGCCCAGGCCATGTAGATAAGGGAGAGGGATGACTTCAGCCCTGGGGAGAGACGGGCACAGGCACTAGGCGGGACTGCAGGTGAGGGGAACTGGGAAGTAAGGCGGGTGCGAGGGTTCAGAAGCGGTCAGAACCCTGACTGCTAACCTCGTTAATGAGAAGTCAAGCAGATTCGATGGGGGCTGTCAAAGAGGATTTGCAAAGATTTCTTACTGGAATGTCGTGGCCCTGTCCAGTTAGCTCAGAGTCCAAGGGGCAGAGTCCACTGCGGGCGGAACACCATCCACCAGGGATGAATCCCAGTGACCTTAGAGAGGAGATGGGGCTGTGGGGATGCAGATGGACAGCGCCAGGTCCAGACGGGGAGAGCACGCCACAAGCAGCAAGCAGCTTTCAACGCATCGCGGAGTGAAACAAAACCCTCCGTAGAAATCAGTCGCTACTCCGTGTTTAACTGCTGTACTTTGGTCGAGCATAAACACCAATACTACGAGCAATACTGAAGAGCTTAAAGCGAAGATCAGTTGGCTCAGTTGGCTCAGTTCGAGACTGAATGGGCATCACGTCCAGGCGACTTGAGCTCCCCAGCTCAGAAACTGCAGCCTTGGTCACCAGAAGATGACGCTGACCTCACAGTTCGCTTGTGTGTGTTGTGTGAGGCATGTGTGCATATGCATGCCTATGTGTACATATTGTGCACGTGTTGAAGGCCGGGGGTTGGCTTCCTGGCATCTTCTTCTGTCCACCTAATTATTCTATTTTAAATATTTATTTTATTTTCATTATTTTATACTTAAATGTTGATAAAATGACTTGTTTTTTATTTAAAATAAAATAACTTGTTTTGTTTTTTTTTGCTTTGTTTTGTTTTGGGTTTTCAAAACAGAATTTCTCTGTGTAACAGCCCTAGCTGTCCTGGAACTCCCTCTGCAGACCAGGCTGGCCTCAAACTCAAGAGATCCGCCTGCCTCTGCCTCCTGAATGCTAGGATTAAACGCTTGGCTTTTTATTCAATTTTTTTCCTTCTTTACTCCTTTCTTTCTTTCTTTACTCCTTTCCTTCTTTCTTTCTTTCTTTTCTTTTTTTTTTTTTTTTTTGAGACAGGGTTTCTCTGTGTAGCTTTGGAGCCTGTCCTGGATCTTGCTCTGAAGACCAGGCTGGCCTCGAACTCACAGAGATCCGCCTGGCTCTGCCTCCCAGAGTGCTGGGATTAAAGGCGTGCGCTGCTGCCGCCACCGCCACCACCACCACCACTGCCACCCGGCTTTATCCAATTTTTATGTGTGCATGTCTGTACTGGTTGGTTTTATGTCAACTTGACACGTGCTAGAGTCATCAGAGAGGAAGGAGCCTCCATGAGATCAAGCTGTGAGGCATTTTCTTAATTAGTGATCAATGGGGGAGGGTCCAGCCCATGGTGGGTGGTGCCATCCCTGGGCTGGTGGTCCTGGCTTCTATAAGAAAACAGCTTCAGCAAGCCATGAGGAGCAAGCCAGTAAGCAGCACCCCTTCATGGCCTCTGCATCAGCTCTTGCCTCCAGGTTCCTGCCCTGCTTGAGTTCCTGTCCTGACTTCTTCCAAGGATGAACAGTGATGTGGAAGTGTAAGCTGAATAAGCCCTTTCCTCCCCAACTTGCTTTTTGGTCACAGTGTTTCATCACAGCAATAGAAACCCTAACTAAGACAATGTCTGTGTGTATCTCCACTCAAGTGTGGATGCCCATGGAGCTGTCAGATCCCCTGGAACTGGAGTTACAGGCTGTTAAGAGCCACCTGACATGTGTGCTGGGAACTGAACTCAGATCCTTTGGAAGAGCCGGACATGTTCTTAACGGCTGAGTCGTCTCTCAGTCCTATCATTATTTTTGAGACAGGGTCTCTCACTGAACCTGGAGCTCACTGATTTGGATAGAGTAGCTGGCCAGTTCCAGGGATCTTCCCATCTCAACTTTCCCAGCACCAAGATGACAGGTACGTGAATCCACTCTTACCCTTCTACATGGGATTAAGGGAAAGAGAAGATAAACATATCCTAGTGTAGGTATGGACTTCCCAGGAGAGAGTCATGTCTTGGCTCCCCAGTTCTTTACTGTGGAAAATTAGGTCCGTCCCAGTTCTGTATAATGATGTTTGAATATTTGTTTTTTTTTTTTTTTTTTTGGTTTTTCGAGACAGGGTTTCTCTGTGTAGCTTTGCGCCTTTCCTGAAACTCGCTTTGGAGACCAGGCTGGCCTCGAACTCACAGAGATCCGCCTGGCTCTGCCTCCCGAGTGCTGGGATTAAAGGCGTGCGCCACCACCGCCCGGCTCTATGAATATTTGTAGTATTTTTGCCCTTATAGGAATATTTCCCTGATACATATTTCTCTAAGTGGAATTCTATGGTCAAAGTATGAGAACAGTTTGAAAAGTATTTATACACGTTGCCAGATGATCCACCTAGTTACAGTCTCTCTAGTTGGAGGAGGCCTGCACACCTGCTTTGTCTGGGAGGGGGCTTCAGATTGAACCCCTGTGCCTTGCGCGTGCCCGGCAAGGCCTCAGCTATATCCCTAACCCTTCTTCAAACGCTTGAGACAGGGTCTTGACTAAGTTGCTCAGGTTCACCTTGACCTTGTAATCCTCCTGTCTCAGCTTCTCTAGTATACCACAGCACTCAACTTAGTCAGTCTGAAAAATTATTAATTGTGGTAATAGTTTATGGAAATTCTTTTCTGGCTTTATTTGTGAAACTTTTTTTTTTTTTAAACAAAATCGTTTCCCATGCTCCCTTTTCCTTCTTTTAAAAAAACGTCTTGGTTTGTTCTAATTTTTTCAAGTTCAAAAATATCCTATTGGCACATTCTGATTAGAATTTTGTGCTACAAAAAAAAAAATGATGAGGCACTGGGCACACCTTTAATCCCAGCATTTGGGATGCAGAGGCAGGTGGATCTCTGTGAATTCGAGGCCAGCCTGGGCTACAGAGTGAGTTCCAGGACAGCCAGGGCTACACAGAGAAACCCTGTCTTGAAAGACCCAAAAAAAAAAAAAAAAAAAAAAAAAAAAAAAAAAAAAAGAGGCAATGTCTACGTATTTATAGTAGGTATTTTCATCTAAAAACACATGCTCATTTAAATAAAATCCTTTCATCATTTCAGTCAGATATGCAGCTGTCTTTTTTTCTTTTTTAAAGATTTTTTAAAAATGTCACGTGTGTGAGTGTTTACCTACATGTACATATGTGCAACATGTGCAGGGGGGGACAGAAGAGGGCATTGGGTCCCCTGGAGCTGGAGTTCCCATGGTTGTGAGCCACCACGCAGGTGCTGGGAACCGAACCTGGGTCCTCTGCAAGAGCTGCCAGTGTTCTTAAGCCCTGGGCCATCTCTCCAGCCCCATATGTACCTCTATACTTTAACTTACTGGTGAGTTAGACGATTAGATTTCCTCTAACTGAATCGTGGTCCCTCCTTGAGGTCAGGTGATCCGGTGTGTGCTTTCCCGTCAAGCTACAGGGGGATTTAGACTCGCAGACTATCTGTTCTCCTGGTTACACTTTATCCAGGTGAGCGGCCATGGCCCTTTGAGCACACCCAACGTGAATCTGGAGGATGGCAGCCAAATGCATCAGGATGGACGGGTGGGGGTGGGGCGGGGGTAAGGGGACGGGACTGGGGATGGGATTTGAAATTGGCCATCATCGACTGACTGGCCACAGAACGCCAGTGTCTCCGTCGCTTACCCGTTCGGGTTTCTCTCCAGCTCGTGTAACAGCGTGTGGTCACAGTACTCAAAAACCAGGTGCATCTTTCTCTTTCTTCTGAACACCTCGATGAGGTTCACAAGGTTTGGGTGTTTCAACTGCTGCCGAAAGAATTGAAATGCACACTCGAGTCATTGCATGTTTCCACTCACAGCTGCCCCCCAGACTCCCGTGACACCAGGAGAACAAGGTCCCTTTGGTCATTCTATCTCTGGGCAGAAGTTTTTTGTTTTTGTTTTTTATATTGTGTGTGTTGGTGTATATGTATATTTGGGGGTGCAAATATGTGTGTGTGTGCACGCGCGCGTGCGAGTGTGCATCAGGTGTCTTCTTTAATTTCTCTTCCCTTTAGCCTTTTTATTACTAACTAATTAGTTAATTAATTAACATATGTGTCTGGGTGCATGGGCGTGTACACACTCGTGGATGTGCAAGGTCACATGTATGGAGGTCAGATGACAGGTTGTGGGGACTGATGCTCTCTTCCTACCACGGAAGTCCCGGGGATTGAACTCAGGTTGTCAGACTTGGCAGCAAGCGTCTTCCCCTGCTGAGCTATCTTGCATCCCCTCTCCCTTTAATTTTTGAGGCAGGGTCTCTCACTGAGCTGTGTCACTTACCCCGACTCAGCTAGACTGGCTGTCCAGCCAGTCCTAGGTGTCCTCCTGCCTCTGTCTTCCCAGAGCTGGGGTTACAGACACATGCCATGGAGCACAGCCTTGTACATGGGGGCTGGGATCTGAACTGAGGTCCTCATGCTTGTATGGCAAACGCTTTACCGGCTAAGTGATCTCTTCAGACTCTTGTACAGAATTTTGTTACAGTGTTTCATAAGGTAAATTGCTCTCAGAGCCACAGGAACTTCAACATGGGATACATTTAAGATCTTGTAACAAGTCAATAAGGATGGTAGCCAAACTGTTTAAAACTCTCTGGTGACAGCAAAGTGCAAACACTGCCCTAACGTGAAACCACTGTGCAGTGTATGAAAACTAGGAACACACAAGTTATAACACAAATGAAGAATTGAAGAAAAAGAATTATTATGCAAAAGATTATAACATAATCAGTGCCTACGTACCTTACACATTATCATAGACTAAAAAAAGTTTTATTTTCTTTTTAATTGTGTGTGTGTGTGTGTGTGTGTGTGTGTGTGTGTGTGTGTGTGAATACATGCATGTGAGTGCAGGTGCTCAAAGAGTCCAGAAGAGGGCACCAGATGCTCTGGAGCTGGACTTACAGACAGTTGTGGACCACTTGATGTGGATGTTGGGAAACAAGCTTGGGTCATCTGCAATAGCAGTGTGTATTCTTAATCTGAGCCCATCTCTCCAGTCCCCCTTTACTATAAACAGAATGAAAATGTTTCTGGATTTAGATGCAGTCCGGTTTCTAGTGTTGGCTCTCAGCAATACCGGATCCCAGTGTTTAAGTTTTTGGTACACTTCTCGTCATAGAAGTCCCTCCAAGTTAATGCATTCAGGTATTCTTTTCATTGCATTCTGTTCTGCCGTTTGACTCTGCTGGACAGAAGGTACATGTGTTGAATTCTGTTGCCACATGGAAATAGTTTAGAAAGCAGTCTTTGATATTTTCCTTTTCCCTTTTTGTTTTCCTGTGCAATATAATATTATATACATGCATTTTTTAAAAAGTGCTTTATGTGATGAGTGTTTTGCCTGTATGTATGTACATGCACTACTTGTATGCCTAGTACCCAAAGAGGCCAGAAGGCATCAGATCACCTGGAACTCAAGTTACAGATGGCTGTGGAACTAAATCCACATCTGCTGTAAGAGCAATAAGTGCTTTTAGCTGCGGAGCCATCTCTCCAGACCTTTGGTCAATATTTTAAACCAAAATTAAAATGCTGATCAAGTTAGATAATCTATTCCAAGAGTGAATATAAAAATCTTAGTGTAGAAGTCAATATAACAGGTAGAAATAAGAACAACTGTAGGCAGCCGGGCGGTCGTGGTGCACGCCTTTAATCCCAGCACTCTGGAGGCAGAGGCAGGCAGATCTCTGTGAGTTTGAGGCCAGCCTGGTCTACAGAACGAGCTCCAGGACAGGCACCAAAACTACACGGGAAACCCTGTCTCGAAAAACAAAAAACAGCTATAGGCAAACTAGTACACATGGCTACTCTGCCTATGCTGAGGGGGCCCAAACAGTTTAGCGTATGTACCAGAAGACTGCCCGAAAGTGGTGGGGTATTTAGCTACACAGGAATCTGGGGCAAAAACTATAAACCTGGATGTCCCTGGGCAAACCAGGACATATGACCACCTCATCTATCTGTAACTCCTTTTCCTTGTTGTCTATCAGTAGAGAAATTAATTTCCAGCACACACACACACACACACACACACACACACACACACACACACACACCTCGTTTTGTATATTATAGCAGTTCAATAAGTATTTTGCAGGCTCAGTAGCGAGTCTTAGGCACATTCAGATCTTTCCATTGCATGTCTATAGATCTCTATCTGCAAGTGTGGCTCCATTAAAAAAAAAAATCTGCGCTGGAATGATGGCTCAGAAGTCCAGAGTGCTTCCTGCTCTTGCAGACAATTGAGTTTAGTTTCCAGCACCCACATTAGACGGCTCACAACCAACCACCTGTAACTCCAGCTTCAAGGGATCCCAGACCCTCTTCAGGCCTCACTAGGCACCTGAACACACACACGCACACGCACACACACACACACACACACACACACACACACACACACACACACGGAGTGTAAAACAACAAAATCACCCGACGACGACTGCTTCTTAATGGTTGGGGACGCGAGACCCATGAGAATTGTGTCCAGAGCCCCCAAATCTATTTGCATTCTGTCAACTCCACTGGCGGAAAGCGGCAGTGGTCAAAGGGTGGCCAAAGGGTGGCCGAGGGGTGGTTTCGCAAGAGCCAGGCTGCTTTGTGCTCTAGCAAAACCACAGTTTGGAAGCGGGACAGTTTTCCTGCCAGGTGGACAAGGGACTCACAGACATTGCAGCTCCACGCCGCCGGCCGCCGTGCCCAGGTTTAACCCGGGCAAACTGTCTGGGGGCAAGCCTGCGATCCACAGCGACTTTAGCTAGTGACGTTGACTTAGCCCGCTCTGTGGTTGCCTAAAGTGAAGCAGGTAGTGGAAGGAGGAGGCCGCTGGAAGGTAAACAGGAGGAGAGTGTGAGCAAAATAAAAAAGGATGTGTTCGGGGCTAGCCACGGAGCAACAGCAAAACGCGGGGAAAACGGTTGTGAGCCAATCACCAGACGCCTCACACAACGACGCGTGGCTAATTCGCACGTTAAAGCGCATCCTCAGATCGGGGCAGTTTTAACTCGGAAATGATAAACAAGTAAGCAAAAACCTAGTATCGCCAGAGTAGCCTGGTTCACTAGCGCCCCCTGCTGGTCAAGCGGTAAGAGCGACTCATATTTTAAATCAAACTCTGTTTTTTTTTTTTTTTTTTTTTTTTGGTTTTTCGAGACAGGGTTTCTCTGTGTAGCTTTGCTCCTTTCCTGGTACTCGCTTTGGAGACCAGGCTGGCCTCGAACTCACAGAGATCCACCTGGCTCTGCCTCCCGAGTGCTGGGATTAAAGGCGTGCGCCACCACCGCCCGGCCAAACTCTGTTTTAAACGAAACACTGCAATAGATTAGATGTGGGGGGCGGGAACTCCTGCACAAGATATTTGAAAAGGAGAAATAATGTAATTATTCACTTTTACAAGCTGAAATTCCATTAAAAAGTAACAGAAGATACTTAGAAAATGAAGGCTGGCTGTGTGCTCTTCAAATGTGCGTTCTAGTGGCTTCTCCACCTCTGGGAGCCTGCTACAAATGAGGCGCTTCAGGACCCATCCCAAATCCCCCCACCTCCAGACTCTGCATTTCAGGGGGGTCCCCAGGGGTTCCCTCGGGCGTTCATGTTGGAGAAGCTCATCCTGGGTCTTATAGCTCTGAAAACAGAGGGGTTTTTTAGGTTAGGGAAACATTTCCTTTGAGAACATACGAAACTTCTACATCGAGATCCGTCAGAGGAAAAGCAATGGTAACAAAAGAAAAAAAAATGTAGGGGGCTGGAGAGCGGTTCAGTGGTTAAGAGCACTGACTGTTCTTCCAGAGCACCCACCTGGCAGCTCACAACTGTCTGTAATTCCAGTTCCAGGAGACCCAACACCAATGCACATGAAATAAAAATTAAAAAAATAAAAAAGAAAGAAAAAAATGTAAAAACTAGTGTACATGGCTGGGTGATACTTAGCGGAGGCGGATCCATGTTGATCTCTACAGGGGCATGGGGTCCCCTCTGTGCTGGGACGCGCTCATGTAGTTTTGCTGGTTGGTTGGGAAAGTGTGTGGGGGCAATGTCCAGAAGATGGCCAGGTGGAGGGCAGTTGGTAAATAGTAGGGTCAGGACACTTAGGACAGAGTGGATGTTTCCCAATCAGGATGTGGTGGACGGAATGCCGAGTACTTCCATGTTTTAACCACCTACTGCTAGGCTCACACACATCAGATAAAAACCAAAGGGGCCAAAGTCCAACCCTATTTCCCGAAGTTGCTGATCCCCAGGAATTTCAGTCCAATGGAAAAGAAATCCGACTTTAAAATTCTGGGTCGCTTTAGTGTGCCCCTTTCAACCGATGCCTTGGGGGCGCAGACCTCCGCCCGCGGAGCACGTGACCTACCTTCAGCATCCGTATTTCTCTCAGTGCTATTTTCTTGACAACAGGATCGTCTTCGGATTCCACGAATTTTTTGATAGCCACCACTTGTCCAGACGACTTGTTTCTGCACTTGAAGACAACCCCGTAAGACCCTTCTCCAATCTTAGCCAGTTTTTCATACTTCTCCATTTCGGTGAGAGCGACTTCAGTTAGCGTCGTGATCGACGCACAGCGTCGCACCTAGGAAACAAGAGCGAGTCTTGTTCATCGGGTTCCCCGGGGACACAGCGTTCTCACAGTTCGTATATACGGACAGGTTGCCCGGGTTGCCGGCGGTTTATTTCCACCCTCTGGTTTTTGCTTTCTTTGTGCAGTAGGAGTGCTATTTTGCAAGCACAGCTCTGTATTCGTCCAGCTACTGCAAGGCCTGCCGGGGGTCATTGCTGATGACGGCTCAGTGCTGACCACAGGTCACGGGAAACAAGCCGGGGGGGAAGAACCTTTACTCAATCTATTGCTTTTATTATCCCTGAGGAAATGATTAAAATGCAAGGCTGTAAAGCGCCATGGAAGGGGAGGGACGTTCATACTCTTGAATACGATGTTTGCCTTCCTAACCAAGTCGCCGGAACAGCACGGCCAGGGGGAAGAATTTCACAACAAGGCAGAGTACAAAGCTCTACACCTCCACCTGGTGGACAGAAGGAAGAACACCGTGGTCGCCGAACAATGCGGGTTTTCTCAGAACACCATTTCCTTAAAAGGTCTGGGTTAAAGGCGAGTGCCACCAGCGGATCTCTGTGAGTTCGAGGCCCGCCTAGTCTACAGCATGAGCTCCAGGAAAGGCGCAAAGCTACACAGAGAAACCCTGCCTGGAAAAAAAAAAAAAAACAACCCCAAAAAAGTTTGGATTATACTTTATTACTATTATTAATTATTATTATTGTGTGTATGTGATATGAATGTGAGATGTGCATGTGTGTGTAGGAAGTGGTCTATGTGGTATGGATGTGAGGTAGGTGTGTGTGTGTGTGTGTGTGTGTGTGTGTGTGTGTGTGTGTGTGTGACAGTCAGTCCACTCCTACCAAGTAGTCCTGAGGTTGTAACCCAGGTTGCCTTTTTAACCTGATCCATCCAGCTGGTCAAGGTGCCGTTTCTTGGTCTTAGCTTTTATTTGTATTGGGGTGACTGAACTATTTTTAAATCCCCCCCAAGAAAATAATAATAATCACACATCCGAAAGGAGGTAAATTTTTCTAATTCTTCCCAAATGGTTTCATATCCACAGGGATCTCTAAGAAAATACTGGCTCTCATTTTTATTGTCATTCCCATTGTTTATGCTTATAATTGCGACTAAACATTCAATGAGATAAGGCCAAAATGATTACATAAATCAGGGTAGGAAATTGATGCTATAAAATTTGAAATTAGCCTAAAAAATTCTACCCCTTTATCCAGCAAAATCTTGTGTGCATAATTTAATTATGGTAATTGTAGGAGACAGCACTGAGATAGCATTGCCTACCTTCATACAGTCTGTATAAACACTCTGGTGTTATTTTTATCCAACTGTGTAGATGAGAATCTGAAGCGCGGTGGAGCTGGCATGGAATCAGAATCAGACTTTCAGGTTCCACAAGGTACAACTGAAACCACACTACCCCACCTCTAGCCTATTTTGTAAGAGTACACAATTTGAAGAACTGTTTTATTTAGGTCTTGGTAGTAATAGTATTAAGTGGAGGAGCTAACCACTGCTAAAATTTCTCATGTTCCAAATAAATAGACTTCAGATGATTATTAATATTGTCTTTTTCATCCAGAGGTTATCTCAATGGAGAGAGACGCTATGGACCCTTACTTGCCACAATAAAAAGATACACTAGGGGGCGCCTGTGTGGCTCAATAGGTAGCATGCTTGCCTAGCATGGCGGAAGCTCTAGGTTTGATGGCATGGTAGTGCTTACGTGTAGTCCCAGCACTGGGGAGAGGCAGAGGCGGGATGATCAGAAAGCCCAAGGTCACCCTTAGCTACATCGTGAGCTCCAGACAAATCTGGAATACATGAGATTTTCTCTCAGAAAACACACACACACACACACACACACACACACACACCCCATAGCCCTTGGGATGCTGAGGTGGGAAGATCATAAATCAAAGGCCAGTGTAGGCCACACAGTGAGACACTGTCTCAAAAAAGCAGAACAAAATTATATTATGGAAAATAACATTTAGCTGGGTAAATGATTATTACTCGTATAGTGTTTTTAGAAAAATTTTTAAATAGTGGATTCAAATCCCCATTAAAGGGGGAAAATATCAACCCCATTAAAAAAAAAAACAGCAGGGAAAATCCACAACACATTAGGCCCTGGAAACTTTATTGATTATACTATATTGCTTTACAGAAGTATCATTAACTTAAAAGTAGCATGCATATCTTTGTCTGGAAAGAGAAGAGAGTATAAAACACCCTTAGAAGGTTATTAGTATAGAATTTGATAGATTATTTCACCTAGTTTATAAGCACTACAGCTACATGTGAACATGACGCTAAGTTTAATAATAAAACTGGGTGTTTTGTTGTTGTTTTTGGAGAGCCTTATATATTCAGTATCTTAGGCCGACCTCAGACTCAGTACGTCGTAGCTGAGGATGACGCTGAACTTCTAATTCTGTTTCACCCTCTTAAATGCTGGGATGACTGGTGTGCACCATGGCGCCGGTTTTTTAATTGTGCGGCTTCAGTCTAGGCATTATCTTCTTATTTCCTTCTAGGTACGTTATTCTGTTCAGTGATTAAATTATTTACATCCCCTTCTTTTGTTCAGAGGGTTTGTGGTTTATTGCTCCAGCTGATCAGATCTCTGTCACATCAACCAAACTTCTGACTGCCATCAAATAAAGCTCCAGCCATGCGGTGGTGCACACCTTTAATCCCAGCACTCAGGAGGTAGAAGCAGGTGGATCTCTGGGAGTTTCAGGCCAGCCTGATCTACAGAGTAAGTCCAAGCCAGTCAGGACTACAAAGTGAGATCTATCTCCCCCCTCCCCACCACCAAAAAAAAAAAAAGGTTCTGAACATAATTTCTCAGTATGACCTTTCCTTATGCAAGGAATCTGGAATGTACTTCAGCAGGAATTACTTAGAGGAGGAAGGCGTTGCACAAAGGACTTTATGGATCTAACTCCTGTTTCCTTAAGTCTATCAGTTTCTAGAAGCAGTAATTCCCGATCTCTTACCTGGGCTCCAGGCCAGCTCTCCAATACACCATGAGCATCTACTCGACGCAGGGTCATCCTGACGCGGGTATGGTAAAAGTGATACCTATTCTGCTCTCTGACCCCTGCTCCTATCCCAGGCTCACAAGCACACTCCACATGACACCCCAATGACTCTCCAAGACACATGGCGGAGGGAAGCTCAGAGGCGACCGAGGAGAAGGACGCTGCATAATGTGATCTCTTTGTAAATAACGCACGAAGCACACACAAACCGCCAGCATCCCGTGCACGACAACGGACGTGCCCTCCACAAACGAATCATAAAGCCAAGCCCAGCTCTGGGAGAGTTGTCTCTTGAAGCCTCCTTTCTAAGAGTTTGCACAGAGCCAAGGTGAGAGTGGGGTGTGGTCTGTAAGGAAGAGTGAAGAGGACAAAAAGGACCAGGAGAGACTCAAAGTCAAGTCCATGAACACTGATACCGGTAGGTGTAGCTATCACTCAGAAGAAAGATCTTAGGCCAGAAGATAAGAGAGATGGGAGAGGCATCCATTGGAGGCTGAAGAGGGAAGGACAAAGGGATAAGTGGAGGCACAGGTGGGATTTTACAAGACACAGGTGATCCTTGAAAGACAAGGACATACACATCCTCCTCTCAAGACTAACCTCATCTAAGACATCTAGCCTCCTCCCACAATGTTTAATCTTTGGTAATGAAATCAGTTAATTATTACTCTGTGTGTGTGTGTGTGTGTGTGTGTGTGTGCGTGTGTGCATGCATGCATGCATGCGTGTGTTCATGCTATGGCATGCCGGCGAAGGTCAGAGGACAGTGGTCAAGGTCTGTGGCGCCAGTTCTCTCTTTCCATCGTGGGTTCCGGGGATTGAACTCAGGTCTCCTCCAGGCTTGTGCAGCAAGCTCCTCTATCTGCTGAGCCATTTCAGTGCCCTAGACTTTCAAATGACGTGAGTTTCAGAAACGCCTGGGACAAAATCAGCAGCATCAGCACATAAAGAATAAGATAACTAAAAAAAACAGTGAGACAGAGGCAAAAAAGGATTTTTTTTTTTTTGGACAAAATAATGGCTAAGACTTTCTAAATTTAATGAAGAACATTGGTCTACACTTTCAAAAAGCTCAATACATTGCAAAAAGAAAAAGATACAGGTAGTGTAAAATGAGATCCATCCCTTCATCACAGGCACACGGCTGCAAACCACAGATCATCAAGAACCCAACAGAAGAGAGCCAGCTGGCTGAGGGCTGATGCCGCACCAGAAACTGCCCACACAAAGGCTGGCCCTCCGAAAGATCAGCGAGACCGACACACCTTGAGGGACCAAGAAACAAACGAGTTTCTCCTCCAGGCATCTTTAAAAATTAAAGAGACTATAACAAATATGTTTATGGAGCCAAAGTGGTCAAGTTGGTTGGACAAATGCCTAGAAAGACAAAAATACTCAAGAAGAAATAGAAAATCTGACTACATAGAAAGTGAATGAGTAAACAAGTCTACCTACAAACAAAAGTCCAGGATGAGATGGCTCATAGATGGATTCGACCAAATACTCAAAGAATACAAGACAAATATTTCATAGCTCTTCCTAACTATTCCTAAAGAGAAAGAAATCTTTCTCAATTTGTTCTCCAGGGCCAGGATCATCATGGTAAGAAACCAGACAAAGGAACCACTGTACATATGAAAACACTCGACAAAATGTCTACCCAACCAACTACAGACACATATGAAAAGGATTTTATGACATGGGGTTTACCTCAGAAATGCAAAGTTGGTTTAATATTTGAAAGTCAATAATGTAAAAAAAAAAGGTTATACAAACAGAAAAGACAAAATTCACAGGCTTAGCTCAGTAGATATGGAAAAGACATTTGACAAACTCAATAGTTATTTATGAAAAAATCTCAACAAATTAAGAATAGAAGGGATGGAATTTCAAGGGTACGTGTCTAAAACCTACCCAGTCAATGCCATTCTTAGTGACGAAACATTGGATGCTTTCTCTCAGGACTCAGAATACACACTGGTTCATCCTTTGTTTCTTCCTCTCTTTTTTCTTTTCTTTCTTTCTTTCTTCCTTCCTTCCTTCCTTTCTTTTTTTTTTTTTTTTGGTTTTTCGAGACAGGGTTTCTCTGTAGTTTTGCGCCTGTCCTGGAACTCACATTGTAGCCCAGGCTGGCCTCGAACTCACAGAGATCCGCCTGGCTCTGCCTCCCGAGTGCTGGGATTAAAGGCGTGCGCCACCACAGCCCGGCTCTTTCTTTCTTTTTAAGTCAAAGTCTCATTATGTATCCCTGGAACTCACAGAGATCCACCTGCCTACCCTCTACCTGACTAGTGCTGGGATTAAAGGTGTGTGTGTGTGCGGCGCCACTGCCGCCGCCGCTGCCGCCACCGCCACCACCACCTCAAACTGTGGCAATCCTCCTGCCTCAGCTGCCCAACTAGTGATTACAAGCATGAACTACCATTCCTGGCTGTCAATAGGCTTTTTTAAAAATAGAAGTTGATCTGATGAATTTGAAATTTATATGACAATGCTCAGAATTCTGAATAGCCACAATAAATACAAACTTGGGAGAGTTATATCACCTGCACTCAAATTTTACTAATGCTATGATTTATTTTAATAAAGGTATAATAAACCAAGTGAGGCAGAGACATGGACATAAAGACATATTATTAACTGGGCAGTGGTGGTGAATGCCTTTAATCCCAGCACTTAGGAAGCAGAGGCAGGCAGATCTCTGTGAGTTCGAGGTCTGCCTGGTCTACAGAATGAGTTTCTGGACAGCCAGGATTGTTACACAGAGAAACCCTGTCTAGAAAAACAAAACAAAAGGAAAAAGACATATATATCCATGGAACATAGCACTGAGACAAGAAGTAGCCTTTTATGTTTGCTTTAGTTTATCTTGTGATGCTATAATACCACACCTGAGACTGGATAATTTATAATGAATAGACATGCACTGACTTAAAGTTCTGGAGTCTGGGAAGTCCAGTATGAAGACACTGGCATTTTCTTGCTCTGTCAAATGATGGGAGGTGGGAAGCTAAGAGCAAAGGAGAGCTGAACTCATGCATTGATTAGTAACTGCATGCATTCTACCCTCGAGGCCTCAGGGCCTAATTACCTCTTGAAGGTCCCATCTCCCGACATGGCCAACGGTAATTACATTTCAATGTAAGTTTGAGAGCGTCACGGCAAGTTCAAGTCACAGCTCTTGCTAATTGTCTTTCGAAAATGGTGCCAAAGTGCTTCGGTGGGAACAGAAGCCTCTTCGGCAAACGATGTCAGGACAACTGAATAGCCATATGAAAGGAATAATAAATGGGCCTCCTGAGACAGTGACCTCATAGGGCATAGTGAGGTTCCACTTTTACTTGGGAGGCTGAGGGAGGAGGACTGAGAACTGGAGGCTAGCCTGGGTTACGTTGCAAGACCCTATTTCAAAACACTGACCCTTCCACCCCCCCCAATACAACAAACAAAACACATAAAAACAGAAGAAACAAGACAAAATAAACAAAATCCAAAATCTAAGAACGTAAAGCTAGATCAGAGTAGTCAGATACACACCCACCCACACATATGGTACACTTCTAGAAACATAAAATATCTAGAAAATACAAAACACCGAGGCAGACACAGCATCTCCGTTGTGTTGGTTTTTGGCAGGCATCGTCATCATGGAACAGCTCCTACAGATAACGGTCCTGTATCCTTCCTGAAAATGCCAAGGTCAGGAAGGACAAAGGTCAAAACACTGCTCCAGATTCACAGAGACTGGAAAGGAAATGCAGTGTGAGATCCTGAATTCCCTTCTGCAATGGGGGAAAAGGTTTGCAAAGAGCAATACCAGAGCAACTGGAAAAGTCCAAACACCGTATGTGGATTTGATTTTAAATTTCTTGATTTTGGTCATCTGTACTGTGGTGATGTTAAAATGAAAAGAAGAGGAGGAGGAGGAGGAGAAGGAGAAGGAGGAGGAGTAGGAAGAGGGCTCAACAGCACTAGCCAGTTAAGCCTTGGGACCTGAGTTCAGTTCCCAGAGTTCCAATAAAGATGGAAGAATTAACTCCACAAAGCCATCCTGTGACCTCTGCACACACACTGTGGCATGCTCACACATCAATAATAAAGTTTTAAGAAGATTTATTTTTATTTGTGTGTGTGTGTGTATGTGTATGCTGTGTGAATGTGTGATTTGTGTATTTGTGTGTGTGCATTCGCCATGTGTGTGGGTGTCCACAGAGGCCAGAGCAGGCTGTCCCCTAGAACTGTGGTTCTCAACCTGTGCGCCACGATACCTCTTGGGACATCGGACGACCCTTTTCACAGGGGTCTCCTAGGACCATTGGAGAACACAGACATTTACGTCACTACTCATAACAGAAGCAAAATTAAAGCTATGAAGTAGCAACAAAAGTCAGTTTATAGTTGGGGTCCCCACAACGTGAGGAACAGCATGGAAGGGCTGAAGCATTAGGAAGGCTGAGAGCCACTGCCCTGGACCGGTTAAGGTGGTTGTGAGTGGCCCAGCCGGGGAACTGGGAACCAGACTCAGGTCCTCTGCAGGGACAGCAAGCATTCCTAGGAACTGAGTCGTCTCAATCCCCAGTACAATTTTTTTTTTTTCTTTAAAGTACATTATGGCCTCTAAAGGCCACAGAGTAAACTTCAAATGATAGCATGATATTTACAGTTCTTCCTACCTCACCCTGATTTACCTTTCCTGTTTTGTCTCTCAGATTCTTCCCCAACACCTTCAGCCTCCTCTCTTATTTCTCAGCCTGGAATGTCTGACCCTTCAGGATCGTATTTCCAATCTCTTCACTTTTCACAGTTCAACTCAAATGTCCCACTCCCCAAAGGCAGGGCTCTTTTCTGGACAAACATGATGCTTACCCACCCTCCCAGCCCCAGTCCTTACATACTCATCACACTGGATTTCCATTGACACCCCATTCTCTGGCATACAGAAGGCTTTTACATCTTACTAAAGTTTCACTTTCTTGCCTTCTTTTTCTCTTTTTAAAAGCAAAAGCCACCGTACATGTTGATTACTATTAGCACAATATTTGGGCAAGATTAAATGGATAGATACAGCTATTGATGGAAAATGTTTTCACATAGTTATCAGTCACCTTCAGCTTGAAGGGGTATACCTTCCATGCTAACTTCAGAATTCATAAAGTATTTGACTCTTGAGTTAATGGAGTTCTGTCTACAAAAACAGGAGCAGGCTGGGGGCCACCCACGACTGCAAAAAGACACGCATAGACAGACAGGTAGAGGAGTAATCGATACTTGACTGAAATTTTTAAATTCATTGGAAAGCTTCCATGGAATTTCCTTACTGTTAAGGATGTACAGAATAAGGTTCACAGGAGGAAAGAACACTTGGAGGATCATTTTCACGACTGTTTTACTTTATAGTCCCGAGGGCTTAAGGAAGCACAAGGACTACACAGGCAAACAAATTAAGATGGGGGGGGCGGGGGAGGAAGTGGTGAGCAGGAAAAAATAAGGTAGAAAAACCGACTTTCCTAATCTAAGATCTAACAGCAAACTGTTAAAAACAAACCAATCAACCAAACCAAAGCCTGGCTTTAGGAATGTTGAGGGGAAAGAAAGGACAGTTTCAAGGCCAGGGAAGATCACTCAGGGATGCCGCCCACCGCTCACTGTCACCGGTTTCCAATGAAACCAAAGACGCACTTATGTTTAATAAACTTGACGGGGGGAAAATGGACTCCACAGACGGAGCATTCCGATCTGCCTCACCGAGTTACAATTTAAAACGCACACACCTGCGCAGAGAGGTGTTCGTGGCAACACAGTCGATCTCCTTAGAACCCTGGAAACTAGCTCGCCACGTCGTTGACAGACTCTGCACAACGTTTTGTTTATGCCCCACGCTTCGGGTGTGCGCACAAAAGACCTGGGAAGTTTGGGAGGCACTTGTTTCGTTTCCAAGCCTCTGAGCCAGTCACTGACTTTTTCCAGGTTATCTAGAGCGGTCTCTAGATGCACAGGCGCGCCCGTCCGCCCGCGTCCCTCCCGGGCATCCCCACGCTCCAGACCCCGCTCTCTTCACCATCCCTGGCCTAGGAACCCGCACTTACGGCACAGACTCGGTGTGGCGAGGGTGGCACAGTGTCTATCCGTGAGCAACCGCAGCCCGCGCCGTGCCGTCCGTCAGTCCGTCCGCTGCAGCCACGGGAACTCCCGGGAGACCCAGCCGCAGCAGCGTCGCCGGGGCAACCGGGACGCGCAGGCCACGCAGCTTCCGGACAAAGGTTTCCACCCAGAGCTCGCTGGGTTCAGCCTTCAATGAGTCATCCAGCGCTCCTTTTACCTTGTGCTGTTCCGAAGTCAGGTTCTGAGACATCAGGCGTGGCTGGCTCATGAACACCTTTTTCGTTAACTCGGCAACGATGCTCCGGAGCCCCGGGCGGATTCAGAGTAGGGACAAGGTTGGTCACCCCAGTGTTGAAGGAAGCGAGGCGAACATCATCGGATGGAGACAAACGTGGTAACCTCAGGAAGAAGAATTTGAGTCGTTATCCACAGAATAAACCGAACGTCAAGGTACGCACACAAAACACCCATCATATGCTTTGCTTCTCTTTGTCAGATATATATATTAGTGTTCGGATATATACATATATATATCCGAACGTTCCTTCTTCCCTACAGGTGTCTCCTCCTCTACCTCACCACCCATTTTCTCACGAGTATGCTCAAACATCACATTTTAAACAAAATTAAACCCGTGACCACGTGCACCTCGCTCCTCTTTTCAAGACCAGACACACGATTCCGCTAAACTCACACCTACATGCTTTTATATGGTTTCTGCCCTTCTGCTAGAAAACATTTCTCATCAGGTGTACCAAGTCACTTTATGTCCAAACCTGTTGGCGTGGTTCCATTTTTGCTGGACTCCTGTGAGTGTGTGTGTGTGTGTGTGTGTGTGTGTGTGTGTGTGTGTGTGTGTGGCCTTGGGTGTCTTCCTTGCTTTTCACCTTGAGACAGGGGCTTTGCTTTTGTGTATGACAGAGTGGCTGGCCTGTGAATTTAGGGAGATTGTCCTGCCTCTCCATCTTGCCCTAAGAGCATTAGGGTTACAAATGACTGCTGTTGAGCCCGGTGTCACATGAGTTCTAGGGATTCAAACCCAGGTCTTTACACTTGCACAGAAAACGCTTTATCCACGGAGTCATATCTCCCGCCTGCCACCTATTTTATTTTTATTTTTTATTTTTCTGAGACAGGGTCTCTCGATTCAGTCCTGGTTGTCCTCAAACTTGCAAAGTACAAAAGGCTGGCCTCAGGATTTGCCTGCCTTTGCCAGCACGACTGGGCTCCACTCCACCTTTTGTGAGATAGGATTTCATATTTCCCAGGCTGGCCTGGAACTTGCTATGCAGCCAAGGAAGACACGTGAACCGAGTGTCCCGTCTTTACACATCCCAATACGAAGTATTGGGGAGACATGTGCACACTCTGGGTTTCTCCAAACTACTTCCAACTGTTCCTTGAGCATGCAGCATTTCTGCATGTTTAAACTCTAACATCTCCACTACCAGACCACCCCCTTATATCAAACGTTTCTTTTCCTCTGCCAACACTGTCTACAGCTGTCTATGTAAGTTTCTTTCCCTAAAGCACCATCGAAGTATCTTGTTAATGTTTGTGTATTATGATATATATACATATATACATATAAAGTATATGTATGTTCTTATATGTGTGTGTGTACATATATATGGAGAGGGAAAGAGGAAATGCATGAGCGCACCTTCTCTACATAGCCTGGCCTTGAACTTGTGACCTTCCTTTGGAGTTACAGGCATGCTTGACTTCTGCTATTTACCTTCATTTTACCCAAACACACTCCCTGGATGGATTTCTGTCTTTTCTCCAAAGCTGGAAAAGTACCTCAATAGGAAATCACCAACAGATATTAGATGTCCTTTCAGAGGTTACAGGCTACCCACCCCGTACCCCACCCTTTCCTTCTGTGCTAGTCATGATGGAAACAACTAAACCTTCATTTTTGTGGTCTCTACTAAAACACAACTCAGACACGTCAAAACACCCACAAACAACTGCCTTTTTCAAAACCAGGACACAGTTAAGAAGAAAGATATCCTGAATGTTAATGAAGACAAGATTGTGTGAGTGGATCTCTTCTGCAGAGCCTAGGATCTGTCACCTAAATGATTCTCTGAAACCAGTGATCCTTGGGCCACATTCAGAAATGTTGACTTAAATTTAATCCATACCCGCAGTTCTTATTCCATGGGGCATATCAGAATAATTTATACATCATAAAAGCAAAGATTATTGGGCCTTACTCCTAAAGAGTTTGATTCCAAGGATATTTTGTGAAAGCTTACGGTTAATAAGCAACCAGTTAGATACATGTTTAGGGAAGGGGCAGTATTTCTAAGAGCTTGGCGGTTTAATGTGGTGAACACTTCCAAGACGTAACCTATAGGTATTGGAAAGTGGAATAAACACCAGCTGAGGTTTAGGACATCGTCCACCCTGGTCACCAACGTGAAGAGCAGGATCTGGTTTCTCAAAAGCTTGCCCTCAAGTCTGCTTTTCAGCTAGTTAGTGGTTATTCTCATAAAAGTGGATTAAAAAATTAATGTTGGTTATTCATAATGCATTAGGGAAATAATATCTGTAATTGCTCTGATTCTAGACACAGAAATGGCTCTGAAACGAATGATCCAAGGTCACCGTAACAGGTTGGGGAAGAATCAATAGAAACAGCAACTCTTGGTCACCCAACCAAGTTCTTCCCACTTCATCTTTCCATTCCTGACCTTCAGAACTGCGCTCCCCAACACTCCTTGACTGTCTTATCTCAGGCCATGCCAAACTATGTTCTGTAAAGGGCCTGACAATAGACACTTGTGCTTTGCAGGTGTCCCTGTTCCTCTGAAACTGCTCAAGTCTGATACTGAATATGAACCTTAGACAACACGTCAATACATAAGGGGGTGCCTTGTTCTCATGAAACTTTATTGACAAAAATGGGGTGGGCTAGATTTGGCTAAGATATTAATTGCCAACTCTTGCTCTAACTAAAACGTTATGAATTTGATTTTCCTGACAAGAATACAAGAATCTACAAAAGATGTCCTTTTCTCAAATGTGGGGATATTACATTAAAAATACAGGTCAAGCCGGGCGGTGGTGGCGCACGCCTTTAATCCCAGCACTCGGGAGGCAGAGCCAGGCGGATCTCTGTGAGTTCGAGGCCAGCCTGGGCTACCAAGTGAGTCCCAGGAAAGGCGCAAAACTACACAGAGAAACCCTGTCTCGAAAAACAAAACAAAACAAAACAAAACAAAAAAAAAATACAGGTCAAATAACGATGACTATTGGGGGGAGAATTGGATATTTAAGATTTAAGTCAAAACAAAGCATTTCCCCTTAATGCTATTAAGCCAGAAGACAATCAACTACTCAACAGCATGTTAAAAAACATGTTTATTTTACAGTATGTACAATCAGGAACATGTTTAAAACCATTATCACTTAGAATAAATGAAGAGCATAAATCACAATTCAGTTTGTTCTTAGTGTATACATACTCACATCAAAATATAAAGAACATATACCAAAAGAGCCAGAAGTGTGCATTTGCTACAACTTGATACCTATCTTGGTAAGATAGATACATTTCATTGGAAAAAACCAATCAAAAATGATTTTCACCAAACTAAGTTCCTGTGATGTGTAGTAACCATTATAATGTTTATATGAGGTAGTAACTAAATTATTTTGGCCATGTATTAATACTCTAAATCAAAAGAAATATGAAAATGATAAAATAAGGCCAACAAAAGTAAAAATTCCATGAGAAATTTGATCACTTCACTCTGGAATGTTACAGTTTTTCAGTGTGATTCTGTGAAATGTCTAGTGTGGACTCTTGAACAGTGCTATTTAGTCTTCGTGCACACTGTAACCCAGACGACTTCAGTGTTCTATCACGGTACCCCCGCCATTCTGTGATTTAAGTCTTTTTCAAAGGTGTACCTAAGCACAGACAAGCAATCTTATACGATTCTGCTTAAATAGAAAAAGATCAGTTACTACAACAGGGGGTTAATCGGTTTGTTTCACATAGAAAACAATCCAAATCCACGTAAAAAAGACGTTGTAGAACCAAATGCATATTCCCGGCGTCACAGCTTTCTTTGTGACTCGTCCATCACATAGCAATACTCTGTGCAAGGAAACACCAGTACACTTGCATTAAAATTGAAAACAAGATTATAAAATGATTACAGCTCGTTACCATTTTAAAAGTTACAAGATTTATATCCATATTACTAAATTACATATAATAAAAATACAATAAGTGTTAAATGTGTTTCATTGCCAGCATCCCATTTTGTAATATAACCACACCCAAGAATATACTAAAGAATTCTTAAAATATTTACCCCAGTTGCATTTTAATCAACATTTACATCTGTACAGATAAGACACTTTTACATCTCATAAAAGTACATTATCTACATCAATTCTTAGTGTATGTCTTCAGCAGATGAAGCTTCACAGAAAAATACTGCTTATATGTACAAACGTTACAGAACAATGGATTAAGCACTTGTGTGGTTCAATATGCTAAATACGTCAGACCACTAAACACAAAGCCCTCCGGTCGGCCTCATGCCACAACAACTCAGAAGGGACCGAAGCCAGGCCTGCGGCCTCTGCACAGCTCCACGCATCCACCAACGCTCAGCAGCCTGGTCACTGTCCCTACAGGTCACTGTCAAGAACACCATGTCTTCAGTAGCTGTTTTCATGACCCGCCAAAATGTATAAATTGCTATTTGCTGTTGGGTTCTCTGTTGGTCTACTTTCCAAAACCACAACCCTAGAAGTAAGAAGAAACACACAAGGGAACGAAGTCATTTCTTTATGAAAACTAACATCAGCTGAGAACAAGATCCCCATACCTGCCTCCCTGTTAGCGACCTCTCTAAATGCTGCCCACTGACCAAGGGCAGAGCCCACTTCCAGGCCCTATGATTACAGGGCTGGGTCCAGCTCTGGGAGGTGCCCACCACCGCCGACCTCCAGATCAAAGCTCTTCTAGGACTTGGGAGTGAAGGGTGACGGATGAGGAGAAACCAATAACTTAGGAATAATTTGGGGGTGGGGGAACTTGGTTCTTTCTAATCATCCTAAAACAATCTGCAGTTTAGAATCTGGTGGTAATTCAGAATAAAAGTCCAGAATCTTATCTGGCATGAAACTAAAGAGTTCTGTGTGTTCACATTCGCTGTAAGTCACTCTCAACAGTGCGACTGGGGCAAACAGTCCCACTGAGGCAGACGGCCCCAACAGGCCTGTGAGTTCCCGCTACTTGGAAGACGGTCTTTCAATATTAAAAAATGAACAAACAGTGTTCAACATGCAGAAATTTCACCTCTCCTGAAAGAGTAACCAGCTTTACGCTGGATCTGGAAAACATACTTAGTACCAGTCACTTCATAACACCCATCTACATACCTGTCAGATCCAAGGAGCCTGAAAATTCTTGTGTTATCTGAAATTTCTTGTGTTACCTGTTTAGTTAAAAAATAATTTTTAAAAATTCCTCAAATTAAAGATACAAAATATTTAAAAAAATTCCTCCTTTCTTTTGAGACAGTC